GATTATGAGGTTAAAGTTGCAAGAGAATCGAAGACTAACCCAAAAGGATTCTTTCAGGTATACAGAAGTAAGATCAGGGACAAGATAGGCCCACTCAAAAGTTCCTCGGGTCAGCTCACTGACAGTGATAAGGAAATGTGTAGAATTTTTAACACATACTTCCTCTCAGTTTTTACACAGGAGGATACCAGCGATATTCCAGTAATGATAAATTATGTAGAACAGGACGATAATAAACTGTGCACGATTAGGGTCACAAGTGACATGGTCCTTAGGCAAATAGATAAATTAAAACCTAACAAATCCCCAGGCCCTGATGAACTGCATGCAAGGGTTCTAAAGGAATGTAAAGAGGAGCTTAGCACACCTTTGGCTAATCTTTTCAACATATCACTACAAACTGGCATGGTGCCAGATAAGTGGAAAATGGCAAATGTGATACCTATTTTCAAAACAGGTGACAGGTCCTTAGCTTCGAACTATAGACCAATAAGCCTAACCTCCATAGTGGGAAAATTTATGGAATCAATAATTGCCGAGGCAGTTCGTAGCCACCTTGAAAAGCATAAATTAATCAACGAATCTCAGCATGGTTTTACAAAGGGGCGTTCCTGCCTTACGAATTTATTAACTTTTTTCACTAAGGTATTTGAGGAGGTAGATCATGGTAATGAATATGATATTGTGTATATGGACTTCAGTAAGGCTTTTGACAGGGTCCCACATCAGAGACTATTGAGGAAAATTAAGGCACATGGAATAGGAGGAGAAATTTTTTCCTGGATAGAGGCATGGTTGACAAATAGGCAGCAGAGAGTTTGCATAAATGGGGAGAAAATCAGAGTGGGGAAGCGTCACGAGCGGTGTTCCACAGGGGTCAGTGTTGGGCCCCCTGCTGTTCACAATCTACATAAACGACATAGATGAGGGCATAAAGAGCGACATCGGCAAGTTTGCCGATGACACCAAAATAGGCCGTCGAATTCATTCTGACGAGGACATTCGAGCACTCCACGAAGATTTGAATAGACTGATGCAGTGGTCGGAGAAGTGGCAGATGCAGTTTAATATAGACAGATGCAAAGTTCTAAATGTTGGACAGGACAATAACCATGCCACATATAAACTAAATAATGTAGATCTTAATATTACGGATTGCGAAAAAGATTTAGGAGTTCTGGTTAGCAGTAATCTGAAACCAAGACAACAGTGCATAAGTGTTCGCAATAAAGCTAATAGAATCCTTGGCTTCATATCAAGAAGCATAAATAATAGGAGCCCTCAGGTTGTTCTTCAACTCTATACATCCTTGGTTAGGCCTCATTTAGATTATGCTGCACAGTTTTGGTCACCGTATTACAGAATGGATATAAATTCTCTGGAAAATGTACAAAGGAGGATGACAAAGTTGATCCCATGTATCAGAAACCTTCCCTATGAGGATAGACTACGGGCCCTGAATCTGCACTCTCTAGAAAGACGTAGAATTAGGGAATATATGATTTAGGTGTATAAATGGAAGACAGGAATAAATAAAGGAGATGTAAATTGTGTGCTGAAAATATCTAGCCTAGACAGGACTCGCAGCAATGGTTTTAAGTTGGAGAAATTCAGATTCAGGAAGGATATAGGAAAGTACTGGTTTGGTAATAGAGTTGTGGATGAGTGGAACAAACTCCCAAGTACAGTTATAGAGGCCAGAACGTTGTGTAGCTTTAAAAATAGGTTGGATAAATACATGAGTGGATGTGGGTGGGTGTGAGTTGGACCTGATAGCTTGTGCTACCAGGTCGGTTGCCGTGTTCCTCCCTTAAGTCAATGTGACCTGACCTGACTAGGTTGGGTGCATTGGCTTAAGCCGGTAGGAGACTTGGACCTGCCTCGCATGGGCCAGTAGGCCTTCTGCAGTGTTCCTTCGTTCTTATGTTCTTATGTTCTTAAGACACATATGCAACAGTTAGGTATCTTTATTTCGAAACGTTTCGCCTACACAGTAGGCTTCTTCAGTCGAGTACAGAAAAGTTGATAGAAGCAGAAGAGACTTGAAGACGATGTAATCAGTCCATCACCCTTAAAGTTTTCAGGTGGTCAGTCCCTCAGTCTGGAGAAGAGCATTGCTCCGTAGTCTGAAACAATATGGAGTTGAAGTGACAGGATGGAGCCTTATTTAGCGCCAGGAGGTGAGACGTAGGTCACTTTGGGAGGTCAGGTCCCTCTCAAATCCAGCCGTTCTCACTGGTAGAGGTTGTCGAAGTTGATTTCAGGTCTGTACCAAGATACCCTTGTGTTGCAGTGTCTGACAGGTTGAACATTAAAATGGTATAAAATACCGACAGGTTGTTAGGTAAGACTACGGAGCAATGCTCTTCTCCAGACTGAGGGACTGGCCACCTCAAAACTTTAAGGGTGATGGACTGATTACATCGTCTTCAAGTCTCTTCTGCTTCTATCAACTTTTCTGTACTCGACTGAAGAAGCCTACTGTGTAGGCGACACGTTTCGAAATAAAGATACCTAACTGTTGCATATGTGTCTTACCTAACAACCTGTCGGTATTTTATACCATTTTAATGTTCAATCTGTCAGACACTGCAACACAAGGGTATCTTGGTACAGACCTGAAATCAACTTCGACAACCTCTACCAGTGAGAACGGCTGGATTTGAGAGGGACCTGACCTCCCAAAGTGACCTACGTCTCACCTCCTGGCGCTATATAAGGCTCCATCCTGTCACTTCAACTCCATATTGTTTCAGACTACGGAACAATGCTCTTCTCCAGACTGAGGGACTGACCACCTCAAAACTTTAAGGGTGATGGACTGATTACATCGTCTTCAAGTATCTTCTGCTTCTATCAACTTTTCTGTACTCGACTGAAGAAGCCTACTGTGTAGGCGAAACGTTTCGAAATAAAGATACCTAACTGTTGAACATTAAAATGGTATAAAATACCGAAAGGTTGTTAGGTAAGACACATATGCAACAGTTAGGTATCTTTATTTCGAAACGTTTCGCCTACACAGTAGGCTTCTTCAGTCGAGTACAGAAAAGTTGATAGAAGCAGAAGATACTTGAAGACGATGTAATCAGTCCATCACCCTTAAAGTTTTGAGGTGGTCAGTCCCTAAGTCTGGAGTTCTTACCTCTTCTAGTGACCTACGTCTCACCTCTTGGCGCTATATAAGGCTCCATCCTGTCACTTCATCTCCATATTGTTTCATTCTTTGGAACAATGCTCTTCTCCAGACTGAGGGACTGACCACCTCAAAACTTTAAGGGTGATGGACTGATTACATCGTCTTCAAGTATCTTCTTCTTCTATCAACTTTTCTGTACTCGACTGAAGAAGCCTACTGTGTAGGCGAAACGTTTCGAAATAAAGATACCTAACTGTTGCATATGTGTCTTACCTAACATACCTAACTGTTGCATATGTCTTACCTAACATACCTAACTGTTGCATATGTGTCTTACCTAACAACCTGTCGGTATTTTATACCATTTTAATGTTCAATCTGTCAGACACTGCAACACAAGGGTATCTTGGTACAGACCTGAAATCAACTTCGACAACCTCTACCAGTGAGAACGGCTGGATTTGAGAGGGACCTGACCTCCCAAAGTGACCTACGTCTCACCTCCTGGCGCTAAATAAGGCTCCATCCTGTCACTTCAACTCTATATTGTTTCAGACTACGGAGCAATGCTCTTCTCCAAACTGAGGGACTGACCACCTCAAAACTTTAAGGGTGATGGACTGATTACATCGTCTTCAAGTCTCTTCTGCGTCTATCAACTTTTCTGTACTCGGCTGAAGAAGCCTACTGTGTAGGCGAAACGTTTCGAAATAAAGATACCTAACTGTTGCATATGTGTCTTTCCTAACAGCCACTCAGTATAACCCAGGGTAGGGAGTGTTAGCCACTCAGTATAACCCAGGGTAGGGAGTGTTAGCCACTCAGTATAACCCAGGGTAGGGAGTGTCATAGAGAGTTGAAATTACAACGATTTAAGAAATTTATTTCTCATTTAAACCAAAGAAAATGCTAGGCCCCGGTCTATTGATCGTCCTGGAGAGACAGTAGTCAACTGCCCAGGCATCCCCGTCAGTAAATAATAATAATAATAATAATAATAATAATAATAATAATAATAATAATAATCTTTTATTTATACAAATACATGATACAACTTATACAGACCATAGCTGACATCAGTGACACACTACGATATAGAAAGTTCCTTGTTATGCAGAGCATTTTGGGCAAATTAGGTCAATTTTGTCATCAGGATGCGGCTCACGCCAGTCCAAAAACACCCAAGTACCTACTTACTGCTAGGTGAACATGGACAGTAGGCGTCTTAAGGAAATACATCCTGATATGTCCAATCGTACCGGGGATCGAACCACGGACCCCAGTGTGTAAGTTGAGTGCGCTACCAACCGAACTACGGTACACAGTGTAAGTTTATTAAGGTACAGGTACACATAAATAAAGTTACATAAATTATCATTCATAGCAGCATATGTGTAGATTACCTAGGATAACCCCCCAAAAAGTCAATGTGCTATTTGCACAATGTAATTTTTATTTGTGTGGTACAGATAACATAGTTTACATGTAATAAAACACTGGAAAGCAGAAGGAAACGGAGTGATGTGAATATCACTTGGGATTAATTAAATATTTTTATAGAACTGGAAATAAGCATAATTTTTATTTATTTAGAAATATTATTCAAGGTGGTATTACAGCATTCTCCTCTCCGGGATTGTGAAATACGATTTTTTTGGGGGGGATCCATTTCTGAATATACGTAATATTTTTTAATGACATATTAAACAGTGCGGGAGAGGTGATGTACACGTATTTTATAAAAATTTGGCGGTAACGTTGACACGTGTTTACAAAATTTGGCGGGAATGGCGCGTGGCGGACGTATGATGTTGTTGTTGTTGAAGGTTTGTGGGAGACGAGCAGCCAATCAGCGCCCTCCTCCACCCTAAGCCCCGCCCACAACACACACTCAAAACATCTCATCTGCTTCAAACCCTCTCACTTTATATACAATATTACCCCACACCATGCACTAACAACCATCCCATTAACCTACATTCATCCCTGAAGCCTTCATTGATTTAATTTATGGGCCATGGAGGACCCTGGAGGCCCAGGTTGAGAGAAAATTGAAATTGAAAACGTCGTCATCAAATTGCCGGGAAAGTTTAGTGTTTGAAGGTGGTGAGTTAAGTTGTTGCGAGTGTTGCTTTGTCTGGGTGGTGTGTTGCTCGCACGTTCCTGCACACCACAGCTCTCCCACAGCTCGGGATGCTCTTCTGAGAGTGAGCACAGGTGCTGCATGTGGCAGAGGTGGCGGTGGAGGCTGGGGGCCGCCCTTGGTTGACCACAACGCGGGAAATCTGAACGTGAACAGCTGATCACCAGAGGTGAAGTGGTTGATGCCACGAGCAGGAAGGTGCACCACCACCACCAGCAGAGGAACACCGCCAGTGGGAGCACCACCACCACCAGCAGAGGAACACCGCCAGTGGGAGCACCACCACCACCAGCAGAGGGACACCGCCAGCGGGGGAGCACCACCACCAGCAGAGAAACCGCCAGCGGGAGCCCAACACCAGCAGTAGAGCACCACCAGCACTTTGAGCAGTAGCAGGAGAGGAGCACCTCCAGTACTTGAGCACCTTCCAGTGGTCGAGGAGCACCTCTAGTGGTCGAGGAGCACCTTCCAGTGGTCGAGGAGCACCTTCCAGTGGTCGAGGAGCACCTTCCAGTGGTCGAGGAGCACCTTCCAGTGGTCGAGGAGCACCTTCCAGTGGTCAAGGAGCACCTTCCAGTGGTCGAGGAGCACCTTCCAGTGGTCGAGGAACTCCTTCCAGTGGTCGAGGAACTCCTTCCAGTGGTCGAGGAGCTCCTTCCAGTGGTCGAGGAGCTCCTTCCAGTGGTCGAGGAGCTTCTTCCAGTGGTCGAGGAGCTCCTTCCAGTGGTTGAGGAGATTCTTCCAGTGGTTGAGGAGATTCTTCCAGTGGTCGAGGAGCTTCTTCCAGTGGTCGAGGAGCACCTTCCAGTGGTTGAGGAGCACCTTCCAGTGGTTGAGGAGCACCTTCTAGTGGTCGAGGAGCACCTTCCAGTGGTCGAGGAGCACCTTCCAGTGGTCGAGGAGCACCTTCAAGTGGTCGAGGAGCACCTTCCAGTGGTCGAGGAGCACCTCCAGTGGTCGAGGAGCACCTTCCAGTGGTCGAGGAGCAGCAGCAGGATGCCACTGCTCAATAAGAAACCCTTCGTCAAGAGGGAGCCTCCTTCACACCTCCAGCTCAGTGATAAGGTCTTCTATTGTGACATCACCAATGAGGTCTTCACTGACTTTGAGTGAGTCACAATAACTATATTAACACCTTAATAAAGTGTTCTATATAACCTTATTAATATCCTCTTAAGTTGCTTTATATAACCTTATTAATATCCTCTTAAGGTGCTCTATATAATAACCTTATTAATATCCTCTTAAGTTGCTTTGTATAACCTTATTAATATCCTCTTAAGGTGCTCTGTATAACCTTATTAATATCCTCTTAAGGTGCTCTGTATAACCTTATTAATATCCTCTTAAGGTGCTCTATATAATAACCTTATTAATATCCTCTTAAGTTGCTTTATATAACCTTATTAATATCCTCTTAAGGTGCTCTATATAATAACCTTATTAATATCCTCTTAAGTTGCTCTATATAACCTTATTAATATCCACTTATGGTGCTCTATATAACCTTATTAATATCCTGTTAAGGTGATCTATATGATGATAATAATAATAATAATAGTTTAAATAAACATGATAAATAGTACAAGGAATTATATACAATAGTTGGGTGTACATGCCAAAAGCTCCTTGTATGGAGAGCATTATGGGCAGGCTTAAAATTAACCTTATTAACATCCTCTTAGGGTGCTCTATAACCTTATTAACATCCTCTTAAGGTGCTCTTTATAACCTTAACACCCTCCTAAGATGCTTTAGAAATAAAGATTATTATTGGATTTAGGACTTACATTTTATTATCAAACACCCTACCTTATTAACACTATTAATGTGTTTCCTGAATGACAGTGTCACCTGTTTAACATGAATGGTTTCAGAATTAGTGTTTACCTGAGTATTTTGCAAAACCTATATCATTTTAATGAAGAAAAAATTAAAAGTTGCAGTTCTGTGACTGGAATGATACACTAGGACTAGGACTATTAACCAGGCCCGGTGGCCTGGTGGCTAAAGCTCCTGCTTCACACACGGAGGGCCTGGGTTCGATTCCCGGCGGGTGGGAACATTTCGACACGTTTCCTTACACCTGTTGTCCTGTTCACCTAGCAGCAAATAGGTACCTGGGTGTTAGTCGACTGGTGTGGGTCGCATCCTGGGGGACAAGATTAAGGACCCCAATGGAAATAAGTTAGACAGTCCTCGATGACGCACTGACTTTCTTTGGTTATCCTGGGTGGCTAACCCTCCGGGGTTAAAAATCCGAACGAAATCTTATCTCTTATCTTATCTTATCTTAAAGGTCAAGGTCAGACCAACAGTCATAAGTTTGTCTCTTATGTGTAGGTTGTTTATGCTAAACAATTCTCTCAACTGTAAACATTTATAAAGGGGTATATTCTTATTCTGCATGACCTTTTTACCACAAGCATATGAAAAACTATACAGTATGTATATATTTATTCCCGTTACCTGTAATCATAATCCAGCCTTAAGTAATAATTAACTGCTGTTTTGCTCTCCTTGTAAATTTATTGTTTATATAAGCAATCAGTTCTTCCTCTGTAAGCCATGCGTGTTGAAAGAGGCGACTAAAATGCTGGGAGCCAGGGGCTAGTAACCTCTTCTCCTGTACATATTACTAAATGTAAAAGGAGAAACTTTTGCTTTTCCTTTTGGGCCACTCCGCTTCGGTGGGATACGGCCAGTGAGTTGAAAGAAGAAAGATAAGCAATCCGTTGGTTATTGCCATTTTAGTCTTAAGCTAAACTTAAGTTTGCCCAAAATGCTCTGCATAACAATGGGATTTAGTAAGTTTATTCAGGTGCGGGTACACCTAAGTGCAGTAACAAGATTTATCATGCATAGCAGCATGTGTGTGGATTACCCACCAGGATAACCCAAAAATGTTAAAGGGACTTATTTCCATTGGACTTTCTGCATGCACACTTAAATGTCACCCATTTCTGTACAAACATTGTATAATGCTGAAGTAAAATAATTATTTATCATTATAATTTTTATATCACAAGAATGCACTGGTTTTTTTTTAATATATTTTACACCATTGGGTGGCCCGGTGGCCTGGTGGCTAAAGCTCCCACTTCACACACGGAGGGCCCGGGTTCGATTCCCGGCGGGTGGAAAAATTTCGGCACGTTTCCTTACACCTGTTGTCCTGTTCACCTAGCAGCAAATAGGTACCTGGGTGTTAGTCGACTGGTGTGGGTCACATCCTGGGGGAAAAGATTAAGGACCCCAATGGAAATAAGTTAGACAGTCCTCAATGATGCACTGACTTTCTTGGGTTATCCTGGGTGGCTAACCCTTCGGGGTTAAAAATCCGAACGAAATCTTTTCTTATCTTATCATGATTTGTTGTGACACATGACTGATGTTTGTGAGGTTCTTTACTTTAATCCCTTCAAGTATGATTTTTCTCGATGCTGCTGAAGGGCTCTTGATCCTTAGAATTGGAGCTACCTTAACCTTCCTTGGATTGGACCAGCTTAATTAAAGAACATTCCCCACATGCATTATGGCCACTACTTGCTTGTTTTTGTCTTATTATGATTATTATTTGATTTAGTTTAACATTTTATCAAGCCTTATACAGAGATAATTACTGTACATTGACTTTTTATTTTGCCTTGAATATTTTCAAATTATACATAAGTAATGTACATAGCTTTGAGACACATTTTTTCTCCTTTGATTTGTACCTCTTTTTTGGGATGTGTTAATGCAGATCCTGGGACTGTTGTGGGATGTGTTGAAGCAGATCCCAGGACTTTCTTATGACTGCATGGAAAATAATAATAATAATGTTTTGAATTTGTTGTTTTGACATTGTTAATGTTGGTGGTTGTTGCAGTGAATACTGGGAGCGACTGGTGCTATGCAACGCCATGGTGTGGACTTGCGAGTTGACCGGCCGACCCAGCCTCACCTACACCGAGGCTGCTGAGAGCGAGACCAGAGCTCGCAGGTGTTTGTCTAATGTTCCTCAGGTGAGTTTTTAGTAGTGCTGGGGTCCTCAGTGTTCCCCTTGTATGGTCTTTTGTATTCTTGGGGTCCTCAGTGTTCCCCTTGTATGGTCTGTTGTGTTCTTGGGGTCCTCAGTATTCCAATTGTGTTGTACCTTATGTTCCTGGGTCCTCAGTGTGTTCCCCCTGTGTGGTCCCTTGTGTTCCTTTGGTTCTCAATGTGTTCCCCTTGTATTGTACCTTGTGTTCCTGGGGTTCTCAGTGTTCTCATGTGCTACTGGGGGTATGGTACTTTACTCATGTTATTCCCCAGGTTGGTGGCACTGTCCTCATGTTATTCCCCAGGTTGGTGGCACTGTCCTCATGTTATTCCCCAGGATGGTGGCACTTAACCCAGGATGCCACTCACACCATCCTGTTGCACCAGATAATTCATTTGTCACAGTCTGGAAGAAATCCATTCTTGGGGTGAGGTTGTGGACTAGCTAAGGGTGAGGTTGTGGTCTAGCTAGGGGTGAGGTTGTGGACTAGCTAAGGGTGAGGTTGTGGACTAGCTAGGGGTGAGGGTGTGGACTAGCTAGGGGTGAGGTTGTGGACTAGCTAGGGGTGAGGTTGTGGACTAGCTAGGGGTGAGGTTGTGGACTAGCTAGGGGTGAGGTTGTGGACTAGCTAGGGGTGAGGTTGTGGACTAGCTAGGGGTGAGGTTGTGGACTAGCTAGGGGTGAGGTTGTGGACTAGCTAGGGGTGAGGTTGTGGACTAGCTAGGGGTGAGGTTGTGGACTAGCTAGGGGTGAGGTTGTGGACTAGCTAGGGGTGAGGTTGTGGACTAGCTAGGGGTGAGGTTGTGGACTAGCTAGGGGTGAGGTTGTGGACTAGCTAGGGGTGAGGTTGTGGACTAGCTAGGGGTGAGGTTGTGGACTAGCTAGGGGTGAGGTTGTGGACTAGCTAGGGGTGAGGTTGTGGACTAGCTAGGGGTCAGGTTGTGGACTAGCTAGGGGTCAGGTTGTGGACTAGCTAGGGGTCAGGTTGTGGACTAGCTAGGGGTCAGGTTGTGGACTAGCTAGGGGTCAGGTTGTGGACTAGCTAGGGGTCAGGTTGTGGACTAGCTAGGGGTCAGGTTGTGGACTAGCTAGGGGTCAGGTTGTGGACTAGCTAGGGGTCAGGTTGTGGACTAGCTAGGGGTCAGGTTGTGGACTAACTGGGGGTGAGTGTTGGTATCAGCCTAAAATAGAATACTGTATTAGTGTCGCTTTCAGCAAAAAAAAATTTGGTTCCGTCCCATCACTAATTCAATTTTTTGCCTCTTAAAATTAAAACTTGGTCTAATCAGCTTACTGTTAACATCTATAAGAAAGAATGGGGGTACATTTTGAATGGAATCTTAGTTAGACTTCATTTTGCAAATGCCATCAGTTATCAGAAATAATGTTGGCAGAGCAAGTGTACTAGTCTTCAAGATAAAACTGGATCTCAGCCTCCTCCAGTTGCCACATCAGCCAGGCTGTGATGGCAGCCAGCAGCAAGAGCCAGGTTGACCAGGAATCAGCAGAAGTCTACTCCTAGGCCAGACTGAGAGGGTAGAAAAACTGGGAGCTGGTCACAGGTACAGAGGTTGCCCACCAAGCAAAAAGATAATGGTTACTGGGAAACAGTGTGAAATCAATGAAGCTATCTGCTAAAGGCTTTCAGTAAGCAGCATAATCTTACTACAGTGTGAGAATCACAGCATTGAATTCTGAGGTTCGAATATATTGTACATGCTGTATATTTTCTTGGGTAATAGTGTATTGGTAGCCAGCATCCATCCAGGGAGGTATAGTACTTTTACTTCTGTCCTCTCAAATTAGGTAAAACTTGCAAGCTTTTACTTACATTTGTTGTACATATAGTACCTGAAATTTTGTATGTGCTTTTTAGTAGTTCATAATACTGCAGTAATTATTCTCCAACCCAGGAGGCTTTGTCTTAGGCTTACCTCTGGGGAAGATAATCCCCAGAACCACTAAAATATGTCTGATCCATATGAGGATATTCTTACCCATGTGAGGGTGACGTCTGAACCTTGTGAGGATATTCTGAGGGTGATGTTTGAACCATGTGAGGGTAATACATTGTAACATAGTTTAAAAGTAGGGTAATCTTGGGTCAGAAACTTTTGGGTTCAGCACTTCTTTCCCCATAATAAGTGATTCCCAAACATGGTCAATATAATGTTTCTGAAGGGTTAAATTTGATATTTATTAACAACATTACCCCATTACTTCCATGGGGAAGAGGAATAAGAATCTTTCCTCCGTAAGCCATGCGTGTTGTAAAAGTCAACTAAAATGCCGGGAACAATGGGCTAGTAACCCCTTTTCCTGTAAAGATTACTAAAAAGAATAAGAAGAAGAAAATTGCCAAAGTGGAAAGTCTGAATGTGCGTGGATGTTGTGCAAATGATAAGAAAGTGATGATTGTGGATGTTATGAATGAGAAAAAGCTGGATGTCCTGGCTTTAAGTGAAACAAAGCTGAAGGGGGTGGGAGAGTTTCAGTGGAGAGGAATAAATGGTCAGGGGTTTCAAATAGAGTTAGAGCTAAAGAAGGAGTAGCAATAATGTTGAAGGATAAGCTATGGCAGGAAAAGAGGGACTATAAATATATTAATTCAAGGATTATGTGGAGTAAAATAAAGGTTGGATGTGAAAAGTGGGTTATAGTAAGCGTATATGCACCTAGAGAAGGGAGAAGTGTAGACGAGAGAGAGAGATTTTGGGAAATGTTGAGTGAATGCGTGGGGAGTTTTGAACCAAGTGTGAGAGTAATGGTGGTTGGGGATTTCAATGCTAAAGTGGGTAAAAATGTTATGGAGGGAGTAGTAGGTAAATTTGGAGTGCCAGGGGTAAATGTAAATGGGGAGCTATGTGTAGAAAGAGATTTGGTAATAAGTAATACATATTTTATGAAAAAGAGGATAAATAAATATACAAGGTATGATGTAGCACGTAATGAAAGTAGTTTGTTAGATTATATATTGGTGGTTAAAAGGTTGATGGGTAGGCTCCAGGATGTACATGTTTATAGAGGGGCAACTGATACATCGGACCATTATTTAGTTGTAGCTACAGTTAGAGTAAGAGGTAGATGGGACACGCGGAAGGTGCCAACAACAAGTAAGAGAGAGGTGAAACTGTATAAACTAAGGGAGGAGGAAGTTCGGGTGAGATCTAAGCGACTATTGGCAGAAAGGTGGGCTAGTGCAAAGATGAGTAGTGGGGGGGTTGAAGAGGGTTGGAATAGTTTTAAAAATGCAGTATTAGAATGTGGGGCAGAAGTTTGTGGTTATAGGAGGGTGGGGGCAGGAGGAAAGAGGAGTGATTGGTGGAATGATGAAGTAAAGGGTGTGATAAAAGAGAAAAAGTTAGCTTATGAGAAGTTTTTACAAAGCAGAAGTGTTATAAGAAGAGCAGAGTATATGGAGAGTAAAAGGAAGGTGAAGAGAGTGGTGAGAGAGTGCAAAAGGAGAGCAGATGATAGAGTGGGAGAGGCACTGGCAAGAAATTTTAATGAAAATAAGAAAAAATTTTGGAGTGAGTTAAACAAGTTAAGAAAGCCTAGGGAAGGTATGGATTTGTCAGTTAAAAACAGAGTAGAGGAGTTAGTAGATGGGGAGATGGAGGTATTAGGTAGATGGCGAGAATATTTTGAGGAGCTTTTAAATGTTGAGGAAGAAAGGGGGGGGGCAATAATTTCATGCACTGGCCAGGGAGGTATACCATCTTTTAGGAGTGAAGAAGAGCAGAATGTAAGGGTGGGGGAGGTACACGAGGCATTACGTAGAATGAAAGGAGGTAAAGCAGCTGGAACTGATGGGATCATGACAGAAATGTTAAAAGCAGGGTGGGATATAGTGTTTGAGTGGTTGGTACTTTTGTTTAATAAATGTATGAAAGAGGGGAAGGTACCTAGGGATTGGCAGAGAGCATGTATAGTCCCTTTATATAAAGGGAAGGGGGACAAAAGAGATTGTAAAAATTATAGAGGAATAAGTTTACTGAGTATGCCAGGAAAAGTGTACGGTAGGGTTATAATTGAAAGAATTAGAGGTAAGACAAAATGTAGGATTGCAGATGAGCAAGGAGGTTTCAGAGTGGGTAGGGGATGTTTAGATCAATTGTTTACATTGAAAAATATATGTGAACAGTATTTAGATAAAGGTAGGGAAGTTTTTATTGCATTTATGGATTTAGAAAAGGCATATGGTAGAGTGGATAGGGGAGCAATGTGGCAGATGTTGCAAGTACAGTGGACCCCCGCTTAACGATCACCTCCCAATGCGACCAATTATGTAAGTGTATTTATGTAAGTGCGTTTGTACGTGTATGTTTGGGGGTCTGAAATGGACTAATCTACTTCACAATATTCCTTATGGGAACAAATTCGGTCAGTACTGGCACCTGAACATACTTCTGGAATGAAAAAAATATCGTTAACCGGGGGTCCACTGTATATGGAATAGGTGGTAAGTTATTAAATGCTGTAAAGAATTTTTATGAGGATAGTGAGGCTCAGGTTAGGGTGTGTAGAAGAAAGGGAGACTACTTCCCAGTAAAAGTAGGTCTTAGACAGGGATGTGTAATGTCACCATGGTTGTTTAATATATTTATAGATGGGGTTGTAAAAGAAGTAAATGCTAGGGTGTTCGGGAGAGGGGTGGGATTAAATTATGGGGAATCAAATACATAATGGGAATTGACACAGTTACTTTTTGCTGATGATACTGTGCTTATGGGAGATTCTAAAGAAAAATTGCCAAGGTTAGTGGATGAGTTTGGGAGTGTGTGTAAAGGTAGAAAGTTGAAAGTGAACATAGAAAAGAGTAAGGTGATGAGGGTATCAAATGATTTAGATAAAGAAAAATTGGATATCAAACTGGGAAGGAGGAGTATGGAAGAAGTGAATGTTTTCAGATACTTGGGAGTTGACGTGTTGGCAGATGGATTTATGAAGGATGAGGTTAATGATAGAATTGATGAGTGGTGCGTTGAGGTATATGTGGAGTCAAAAAACGTTATCTATGGAGGCAAAGAAGGGAATGTATGAAAGTACAGTGGAACCTCAAAAATCGAACTTAATCCGTTCCAGGAGCTAGTTCTAAATTCGAAAAGTCTGAAATTCGAAGCAATATTTCCCATAAGAAATAATGGAAGTACAATTAATCCGCTCCAGAAACCAAAAAATATTCACAAAAATAATACATTTTATAGAGATTAATTACAGTTTTACATACAACAAATGCTATAGTCTTTAATTATGTATAGTAATATAAAATAACATTTTTACTTACCTTTATTGAAGATTGGTGATGGCATCTGGAAGATAGGGAGGAGGAGAGAGGGAGTTGGGGTTATTGTTTGGAAGGAGAATCCCCCTCCATGAGGACTTCCGGTATCAAAGCCCTCTCTGGGGTTGCTTCCCTTCTCTGTATTTTAATGCCACTAGGACCAGCTTGAGAGTCATTGGACCCCTGTCTCACAAAATAACTGTCTACAGTCCTCTGTTTCTGTCTCACAAAATAACTATCCACAGTCGTCTTTCTGTCTCACAAAATAACTGTCCACAATCGTCTGTTTGTCTCACAAAATAACTCCACAGTCGTCTGTTTGTCTCACAAAATAACTGTCCACAGTCATCTGTTTCTGTCTCACAAAATAACTGTCCACAGTCGTCTGTTTCTGTCTCACAAAATAACTGTCCACAATCGTCTGTTTGTCTCACAAAATAACTCCACAGTCATCTGTTTCTGTCTCACAAAATAACTGTCCACAGTCTGTTTCTGTCTCACAAAATAACTGTCCACAACCGTCTGTTTCTGTCTCAAAATAACTGTCCACAACCGTCTGTCTCACAAAATAACTCCACAGTCGTCTGTGTCTGTCTCACAAAATAACTCCACAGTCGTCTGTTTCTGTCTCAAAATAACTGTCCACAGTCGTCTGTTTCTGTCTCACAAAATAACTGTCCACAGTCGTCTGTTTCTGTCTCACAAAATAACTGTCCACAGTCATCTGTTTCTGTCTCACAGAATAACTGTCCACAGTCCTCTGTACATCCTGGCAAGCTCAACAAGTCTCACTCCAATCTCATACTTCTGTATTATTTCCTTCTTCACATATATGGTGTTTCTCACTTTCTTTACCACAGGGGTACCACTAGCAAGTTTCTTTGGGCCCATGGCAGCTTATTTCACAGCCCCACAAGCACTAAACACAATTAAATAATCGTAAAATGTGTGAATGAGATCGCAGGTTAGTGTTCACTCAAGCATAAACAAAGCTAGACTGCTCATGGCGCTTGGGCGGGGACGCGGACAGAGCGGGCCAGCGGACAGGTCCCGTACCTGACGGTCTGAAATTAGGGGCGCGTTCGATAATTGGGACACAGTTTGTCTGAAAAAATGGTCTTATTTTCGAAACGTTCTATATTTAATACGTTCTATTTTTGAGGTTCCACTGTATAGTAGTACCAACACTCTTATATGGGTGTGAAGCTTGGATTGTGAATGCAGCAGCGAGGAGACGGTTGGAGGTAGTGGAGATGTCCTGTCTAAGGGCAATGTGTGGTGTAAATATTATGCAGAAAATTCGGAGTGTGGAAATTAGGAGAAGGTGTGGAGTTAATAAAAGTATTAGTGAGAGGGCTGAAGAGGGGTTGTTGAAGTGGTTTGGTCATTTAGAGAGAATGGATCAAAGTAGAATGACATGGAGAGCATTTAAATCGGTAGGAGAAGGAAGACTGGGAATGGGTCGTCCTCGAAAAGGTTTGGAAGGAAGGGGTAAGGGAGGTTTTATGGGCGAGGGGCTTGGACTTCCAGCAGGCGTGCATGAGCGTGTTCGATAGTAGTGAATGAAGACGAATGGTATTTGGGACCTGACGATCTGTTGGAGTGTGAGCAGGGTAATATTTAGTGAAGGGATTCAGGGAAACCAGTTATTTTTATATAGCCAGACTCGAGTCCTGGAAATGGGAAGTACAATGCTTGCACTCTAAAGGAGGGGTTTAGGGATATTAGCAGTTTGGAGGGATATGTTGTGTATCTTTATACATATATGCTTCTAAACTGTTGTGTTCTGAGCACCTCTGCAAAAACAGTGATTATGTGTGAGTGAGGTGAAAGTATTGAATGATGATGAAAGTATTTTCTTTTTGGGGATTTTCTTTCTTTTTTGGGTCACCCTGCTTCGGTGGGAGACGGCCAACTTGTTGAAAAAAGAAAAAAAATTCTAGGTAGTAGGTTGGTAGACAGCAACCACCCAGGGAGGTACTACCGTCCTGCCAAGTGAGTGTAAAATGGAAGCCCGTAATTGTTTTACATGATGGTAGGATTGCTGGTGTCTTTTTTCTGTCTCATGAACATTCAAGATTTCAGGTACGTCTTGCTGCTTCTGCTTACACTTAGGTCACACTACACATGCAGGTACAAGCATATATATGCACACACCTCTGGGTTTTCTTCTGTTTTCTTACTAGCTCATGTTCTTGTTTATTTCCTCTTATCTCCATGGGGATGTGGAACAGAATTCTTCCTCCGTAAGCCATGCGTGTCGTAAAAGGTGGCTAAAATGCCGGGAGCAAGGGGCTAGTAACCCCTTCTGTATACATTACTAAAGTTAGAAAGAGAAACTTCTGTTTTTCGTTTTGGCCACCCTACTTTGGTGGGATTACGTCCAGTTTGTTGAAAGAAGATTACCTCCATTTTCTGTTATTATTTTAACAGGTATTGCGGAAGCCCTTGCTCTACATAGCTACCTTGACTCGCCGTGGGCGCTACATAGATATGAGTGAAGATGTTTTCACCTTCGTCCGTGACCGCTACTTTGTCGGAGAGGAGGTCGAGGCTATAGTCAAGAACCACTGGTATGACTGCAGGGTGAGTCTCTACTTGGAAATGATAGATTTTCTTTATGCGTTGATTTATGATTTAGTTGCATGGAGAAGTGGAGAAGAATCCTTTCTCCATAAGCCATGTGTGTCGTAAGAGGCAACTCAAATACCGGGAGCAAGGGGCTAGTAACCCCTTCTCTTGTATAAATTACTAAAGGTAAAAAGAAGACAGCTTTAGTTTCTTCTTTTTTGTGTCACTACCTTGGTGGGAGACAACCTCTGTTGTAATAAAAAAAAGTTATGATTTAGTTAAGAATGAGGACCTTAATTTGTTGTATAAATATTTTGATTAAGAAGTGTGACTTACATAGTTAAAGCCCCAGCTTCTGCAGGTGATATTTGCGGACTTTGGTCATCTCTTTCCATTGTTTATAGTAGGTAGTAGGTAGACAACCATCCACGGAGATACTACCCTACTGTCATGTGTGTGAAATGAATGACTGTAAAGATTTCATAACATACAAGATGCTGGGTAAATCTTGTATACCTTTGCTTCCATTCAACTTATCTAGATTTGTTGTTTCTCAGGAGTTCATAGTCCTGTAACATTTCCGATCAGTTTGTGTTCTGGTCTGAGGCTGGGCCACGGGTGATAACCCCTGGAACCATACAGACATTAATATATGTTATATAGAAAAAAGTGGCTGTATAATTTATATGTACCACTTTGTTAAAACCAGTAAGTACCAGTAATGGGAACATGTTAAAATATAAGTAAAATCTCGATATAATGGGCCACTATGTGATAAATATTGAATATAATGGACAGAATATTATGACAGTAGACTTAAGTTTGCTGTTTTGAAATTTTATCCATTAGCAGTAGTACATAGTGTGTTTGTGTGTGTCTGGTAGGCTTCCCACAGTGTACTAAGTTTGTTGCATCAGACATTTCGATATAAAAGATTTTCATTTCCTTCTAGTTATACTGAAGTTTAACAACATGTAAGATGAGGTTAGTATGGTAAGAAGTTTATTATGGAGGAAGTAATTGTTAAAATACTATGAATGTATCAGTAGATCGGTATGTGAAAGCTAAGATAAATAACTTTTTTTTTAACATGATGGCTTTCTCCCACCAAGGTAGGGTGACTTGAAAAAGAAACACTTTCACCATCATATATTTGGGGAAAATTACTGTGGCTTTTGGCTACTTATTTACCAGTCTTATATTGAAGAAATACTTTATGATGCTTCTGTGGGTCATTTGGATGTACAATTTCCTGCCATGCCTCATTGTTATTGTATCCGGTGAAGAACTATCTGTATTTCCTAGTGTTTATATATGGTAATTGTATCCCCTCTTCTTTCCTCAAGTAAGATGAGACCAAGTTCTTCAATTACTTCTCTGTAGCAGGTGCCTGTTTGAGGCTCTCTTTGCACTTTCAAGTTTCATATTGTGTTTTAGTAGGTATGGGAGCCACATTGGCACTATGTATTCAAGAAGGGATGAACATCTGAGGTGTAAATGCTGGGTTCAAGGGGCTAGTAACCCCTTCTGTATAAATTACTAAATTTAAAAAGAAATTTTTTTTTTTTAGGTCACTGCCTCTGTGGGATACAGCTGGTGCATTGAAAAAAAAATGAGGATTAAAATATTTTAAATGAATCATTGTCTAGGTTCCTGAAATACGCTCATACGTAGGTTTAGAAAGTTGGCTTGTGCTGCTGGGTGTTCTCGAGTCTGTCAAGTTAAGGAATATTTTCTAGTGTTTGCTTTAATGTATTTAAACCCTGTCAGTATGAAGCTAACCCTTTGAATGTTGCAAAGGGGAGAAGGAGGCAGTGTAAATGTGTTTGAGATAGGTGTGTGCCGCAGAAATGACTAGAATAAATTAGAAACTGGTTTGATGGTATGAAACATATAAGTCAAAGTGTTTTTAAGGGGTTCTTGAAGTGGTTTGACTATGTATAAAGACTGTATGATAATAGTACCTTCCAGTGCGAGCAGAGTTAACTTGTGAAAACATCCACTGATGATGTGTACTTGTCCTCAAGCTATATTCACTGTTAGAGTTGGAGAGCTCCAGAACAACACAACTAGTGCTTAACATACTACTATGCTCTCAACTTGCCATTAGGATGCTGACGACATAGTTCAGATGGCCCCCTTGAACTGCAATACCCTCATACCTTCTTCAGAATACAGGCATTGTATTTCCCACCCTCAGGACTCAAATCCAACTAACAGGTTTCCCTGAATCACTCACACCTCACTCACACTCCAGCAGCATTATGTCATGTCATAAAAATCACTTTCTAGTAATCATTATAAACCTGTTAAATTATATTTTACATACCAGGAAAGTACATTGATTATATTGATGGAAGTTTTTTCTCAAAATATATAATGTGACCTTGATTTGGTCTGTATGACCTCTGGGACATTGTCTGACTTAAAGAATAGTTTAACTAAAAATAAAGACTGATGTATTTACTACAAGAAATTGTGGTAAATTTTTTATTCATATGCATGCTTTTGTTAGTGTAAGGTCCTTAAAATAAGTATATATCTTGCCACCACAACCACCCCTTGTCATCTCTTCATAACAACCCTTTGTCATCTCTTCACAACCATCCTTTGTCCTCTCCTCATAACCACCACCTGTCTTTGTCTCACCACAGCCTGCCCCCTTCCCCATCCTCACTTCACCACAATACATGCCATATGTCCTCACCTTGTTATCCTCCCCCTCACCACCACCACCATCCATTTTTACCACATAATCACTCTGAAACACTAGTGTACAAAATAGAGCCTCATTACTGTTAGTGTTTCAGGTGATTCAGATAATATACCCCACACCTGAAGAAATAGCTAAATATGAATTTGAGATGGCAGAGTCTGACGAGGAAGGCTCTCAGATGATGAGTGAAGCTGCACTGAATGGTGGCATCACAGCGAGAGAGATGAATGGGGAGATGGGGAGTGTGGACGATGACGACATCCAGATCATCAAGGATCTCGCCCCCAAAAAGAAGGAAGTAAAAAAATTGGAAGAGGGCGATGACTATCCCCCATTTGCCACTTACAAGTACGAAGTGATTGAGATTGAACCCTGGGATTATAAGGAAGTAAAGGTGAGCTTCCTCTTACGATTTTATGTTTGGTTCAGCCTTGAAGAGTGCTGCCTTCATCCTAGTGTAGGGCTCTTGATCCAACAAATTGAAGCTACCCTGCTCTTTATTTTTTTCCCTGGATCATACTTAATTACATCGCATTCCCAGGCACTGTATGATGCCTGTGGGTTTAGTGTTACCCCATGATTGTAATAAATTGTACTTTTTTTTTTGGGGGGGGGATCAACATTCTGTTTTTTCACCGAGGCAGGATGACCCCCAGGTAGGGTGACCCAGGCAGGGTGACCCCCCCAAGCAGGTTGACCCCCCTCCCCCAAGCAGGTTGACCCCCCAGGCAGGGTGACCTCCCAGAGGCAGGGTGACCCCCAGAGGCAGGGTGACCCCCTGAGGCAGGGTGACCCCCTGAGGCAGGGTGACCCCCTGAGGGAGGGTGACCTGAAAAAGAAGAAAACTATAAACTTTATCTTTTCAACATTTAGTAATTTGTATTTTTTTTTTATCTCGGATTAATAAGTTGAGTACAGTTAGTGTTGTATTACAGAAACACACAGTAACGTGGGAGCAGATTCGTCGAGTTAAGGGCACCTTCACCCGGGAGAAGTGTAAACTGTTGCTCAAACAGTGTGTAGAACTGTCTCCATCAGGATTCTGGGTCATTAAGGCAAGTCTTTTATACAACATCCTGTTTTATATCTACATTTTTTTAGTTCTCAAGCTTAGCACATGATGGATCAAATTTGTTAAAGATTCTTTTGAATTAATGGTGATGGAAATGATGGTGGAGTATCTGAGAGAGTTAGAGCAAAGGAAGGGGTAGCAGTAATGTTAAATGATCAGTTATGGAAGGAGAAAAGAGAATATGAATGTGTAAATTCAAGAATTATGTGGATTAAAGTAAAGGTTGGATGCGAGAAGTGGGTCATAATAAGTGTGTATGCACCTGGAGAAGAGAGGAATGCAGAGGAGAGAGAGAGAGATTTTGGGAGATGTTAAGTGAATGTATAGGAGCCTTTGAACCAAGTGAGAGAGTAATTGTGGTAGGGGACCTGAATGCTAAAGTAGGAGAAACTTTTAGAGAGGGTGTGGTAGGTAAGTTTGGGGTGCCAGGTGTAAATGATAATGGGAGCCCTTTGATTGAACTTTGTATAGAAAGGGGTTTAGTTATAGGTAATACATATTTTAAGAAAAAGAGGATAAATAAGTATACAAGATATGATGTAGGGCGAAATGACAGTAATTTGTTGGATTATGTATTGGTAGATAAAAGACTGTTGAGTAGACTTCAGGATGTACATGTTTATAGAGGGGCCACAGATATATCAGATCACTTTCTAGTTGTAGCTACACTGAGAGTAAAAGGTAGATGGGATACAAGGAGAACAGAAGCATCAGGGAAGAGAGAGGTGAAGGTTTATAAACTAAAAGAGGAGGCAGTTAGGGTAAGATATAAACAGCTATTGGAGGATAGATGGGCTAATGAGAGCATAGGCAATGGGGTCGAAGAGGTATGGGGTAGGTTTAAAAATGTAGTGTTAGAGTGTTCAGCAAAGTTTGTGGTTACAGGAAAGTGGGTGCGGGAGGGAAGAGGAGCGATTGGTAGAATGATGATGTAAAGAGAGTAGTAAGGGAGAAAAAGTTAGCATATGAGAAGTTTTTACAAAGTAGAAGTGATGCAAGGAGGGAAGAGTATATGGAGAAAAAGAGAGAGGTTAAGAGAGTGGTGAAGCAATGTAAAAAGAGAGCAAATGAGAGAGTGGGTGAGATGTTATCAACAAATTTTGTTGAAAATAAGAAAAAGTTTTGGAGTGAGATTAACAAGTTAAGAAAGCCTAGAGAACAAATGGATTTGTCAGTTAAAAATAGGAGAGGAGAGTTATTAAATGGAGAGTTAGAGGTATTGGGAAGATGGAGGGAATATTTTGAGGAATTGTTAAATGTTGATGAAGATAGGGAAGTTGTGATTTCGTGTAGAGGACAAGGAGGAATAACATCTTGTAGGAGTGAGGAAGAGCCAGTTGTGAGTGTGGGGGAAGTTCGTGAGGCAGTAGGTAAAATGAAAGGGGGTAAGGCAGCCGGGATTGATGGGATAAAGATAGAAATGTTAAAAGCAGGTGGGGATATAGTTTTGGAGTGGTTGGTGCAATTATTTAATAAATGTATGGAAGAGGGTAAGGTACCTAGGGATTGGCAGAGAGCATGCATAGTTCCTTTGTATAAAGGCAAAGGGGATAAAAGAGAGTGCAAAAATTATAGGGGGATAAGTCTGCTGAGTATACCTGGTAAAGTGTATGGTAGAGTTATTATTGAAAGAATTAAGAGTAAGATCGGAGAATAGGATAGCAGATGAACAAGGAGGCTTTAGGAAAGGTAGGGGGTGTGTGGACCAGGTGTTTACAGTGAAACATATAAGTGAACAGTATTTAGATAAGGCTAAAGAGGTCTTTGTGGCATTTATGGATTTGGAAAAGGCATATGACAGGGTGGATAGGGGGGCAATGTGGCAGATGTTGCAAGTGTATGGTGTAGGAGGTAGGTTACTGAAAGCAGTGAAGAGTTTTTACGAGGATAGTGAGGCTCAAGTTAGAGTATGTAGGAAAGAGGGAAATTATTTCCCAGTAAAAGTAGGCCTTAGACAAGGATGTGTGATGTCACCGTGGTTGTTTAATGTATTTATAGATGGGGTTGTAAGAGAAGTAAATGCAAGGGTCTTGGCAAGAGGCGTGGAGTTAAAAGATAAAGAATCACACACAAAGTGGGAGTTGTCACAGCTGCTCTTTGCTGATGACACTGTGCTCTTGGGAGATTCTGAAGAGAAGTTGCAGAGATTGGTGGATGAATTTGGTAGGGTGTGCAAAAGAAGAAAATTAAAGGTGAATACAGGAAAGAGTAAGGTTATGAGGATAACAAAAAGATTAGGTGATGAAAGATTGAATATCAGATTGGAGGGAGAGAGTATGGAGGAGGTGAATGTATTCAGATACTTGGGAGTGGACGTGTCAGCGGATGGGTCTATGAAAGATGAGGTGAATCATAGAATTGATGAGGGGAAAAGAGTGAGTGGTGCACTTAGGAGTCTGTGGAGACAAAGAACTTTGTCCTTGGAGGCAAAGAGGGGAATGTATGAGAGTATAGTTTTACCAACGCTCTTATATGGGTGTGAAGCATGGGTGATGAATGTTGCAGCGAGGAGAAGGCTGGAGGCAGTGGAGATGTCATGTCTGAGGGCAATGTGTGGTGTGAATATAATGCAGAGAATTCGTAGTTTGGAAGTTAGGAGGAGGTGCGGGATTACCAAAACTGTTGTCCAGAGGGCTGAGGAAGGGTTGTTGAGGTGGTTCAGACATGTAGAGAGAATGGAGCGAAACAGAATGACTTCAAGAGTGTATCAGTCTGTAGTGGAAGGAAGGCGGGGTAGGGGTCGGCCTAGGAAAGGTTGGAGAGAGGGGGTAAAGGAGGTTTTGTGTGCAAGGGGCTTGGACTTCCAGCATGCATGCGTGAGCGTGTTTGATAGGAGTGAATGGAGACAAATGGTTTTTAATACTTGACGTGCTGTTGGAGTGTGAGCAAAGTAACATTTATGAAGGGGTTCAGGGAAACCGGCAGGCCGGACTTGAGTCCTGGAGATGGGAAGTACAGTGCCTGCACTCTGAAGGAGGGGTGTTAATGTTTCAGTTTAAAAACTGTAGTGTAAAGCACCCTTCTGGCAAGACAGTGATGGAGTGAATGATGGTGAAAGTTTTTCTTTTTCGGGCCACCCTGCCTTGGTGGGAATCGGCCAGTGTGATAATAAAAAAAAAATAATTTATCCAGATCATTTTTAATAATAATTACAATTTTTTAATAGTTATTCTTAAATGCCTGTTCTTTCAAGACTCACAAGTGGTCATACAAGATGATCTGGGTAAATTGAACACATGGGATGATAGATGGTTAATGGAATTTAGTGTATTGCCTAAATTTGTTGTGTGTATACCTTTAATGTCCTTATATTTAAGCCATTGTAGCCTTAAATTGGGCTTAAGTTTGCCTGAAATACTCTGCATAACCATGAGCTTTCTGTATGCACAACCAGATATTGCCCATCTCTTTACATTTTTTTCTTTTAACACTTTAGCCATTTCCCGCCAAGGCAGGGTGACCCTAAAAAAAAAAAAATACTTTCATCATCATTCAACACTTTCACCATCACTCATACATTATCAGTCTTTGCAGAGGCACTCAGATATGATAATTTAAATGTCCCTCCAAACTGCCAATATCCCAAACCCCTCCTTTAAAGTGCAGGCATTGTACTTCCCACTTCCAGGACTCAAGTCCGGTTAACCAGTTTTCCTGAATCCCTTCACAAAATATTACCCTGCTCACATTCCAACAGCTCGTCAGGTCCCAAAAATCATTCGTATCCATTCACTCCTATCTAACATGCTCACGCACGCTTGCTGGTAGTCCAAGCCCGTCGCCCACAAAACCTCTTTTACCCCCCTCTCTCCAAACTTTTCGAGGATGAAATAAATCTTTGACTTTAACTTTAGATAAATGTCATGTAATGGGGATGAGAGAAAGTGAAATCAGGCCACATGAAGAATTTAGACTGTGTGACATAATATTGAAAATATCAGCTCTGTGCTGTAAAGCAGTGTGTGTGTGTGTGTGTCTGTCTGTCTGTCTGTCTTGTGGTATAAGTGCTGCACGAGATTGTATGCTCTGAAGAACACGAGTCATAATTCCTTGGCTAAAACACCTCTCAAGGAAGATGCCTTCACAATTCACTCATTGTATTGTATTTGCAATACAGTGAGTAAATTGTTTCACTCATTGTATTGTAAATAAAAAATTATAGGAAATTACTGCAGATGTCAGGGTGGTGAGATGTCATATTTATTTGTAGATGTAGTATACTATATCTATTTTTTAATCGGATTGATGGTATATTTGTTAAACTTGCAGGAGAATTTGTCAAGAAGATATGACCTGGATAATGTGGTGTACTCAGATATATTCCTCGGAGAACCTCCCAAGTTCAGAGAAACCAAAGCTAAGAAAATGCCTGTCAGTTTGAACCCAGACAAAGAAATGAAAAAGCTTGCTGCTGAGAAGAGGAAACGAGAGAGGAAGGAAGCACGAGAGAAGAACCCAGAAGTAGAAGTGAAGAGACGAGGGCGAATTCCCATGAGTGAAGAGGAGAAGGAAGCGCGCAAGAAAATGTATGTATGTTTAGGTGGTGGTTCCTTGTAGCATGGTAGTTAAGAAGCTCCTTGAAGCATGGAAGTTGGTGGCTCCTCGAGGCATGGTACTCAGTGGCTGCTGGAGGCATGGTACTCAGTGGCTGCTCGAAGCGTGGTACTCGGTGGCTGCTCAAGGCATGGTACTCAGTGGCTGCTCGAAGCATGGTACTCTGGCTGCTCAAGGCATGGTACTCAGTGGCTGCTCGAGGCATGGTACTCACTGGCTCCTCGAGGCATGGTATACTTAGTGGCTGCTTGAGGCATGGTGCTGAGTGGCTGCTTGAAGCGTGGTACTCGGTGGCTGCTCGAGGCATGGTGCTCAGCAGCTCCTCGAGGCATGGTACTCAGTGGCTGTTCAAGGCATGGTACTCGGTGGTGCTCGAGGCATGGTACTCAGTGGCTCCTCGAGGCATGGTACTCAATGGCTCCTCAAGGCAGGGTACTCAGTGGCTCCTTGAGGCATGGTACTCAGTGGCTCCTCAAGGCATGGTAGTCAGTGGCTCCTCGAGGCATGGTAGTTGGTGGCTCCTGAGTATGACTAGGGATGTCTTCCAACGTATGTAGTGTGTCTCAAGAACGGGAGGATGATTGTGCCTCAGTCAATCCTTGCACTGAAGGACCCACATGGGTTTACTGCAAGGAGTGACACAGTAGGGAGTTTAGCTCCCCACCTCTGCCTAGTCTCAGACCAGACCTCAACGTCTCCTGCCTGATCTCAGACTAGGCCTCATCTCCCCTTGCCTGATCTCACAGTAGGCCTCAGCTCCTTTCCCCCCTCCACCTGGTCTTGGACTAGGCCTCCTAATGAACCTATCTAGGAGAATTCCTAAGGCTTTTGATCCTGGTATTTGGGAATGTGTAGATCAAGTGTTTACATTGAATCATATAAGTGAACAGTATTTACATTAAGTAGGGAAGTTTTCATTGCATTTATGGAAAAGTCATTTGATAGAGTGGAGAAGTGTGGCAGGTGTTGCAAGTTTATGCAGTAGGTAGTAAGTTAATAAATGCTGTAAAGAGTTTTTATGAGGATAGTGAAGCTCAGGTTAGTGTGTAGGAGAGAGGGAGATTACTTTCCAGTAAAAGTAGGCTTTAGGCAGGGATGTGTAATGTCACCATGGTGTTTAACATGTTTATAAATGGAGTTGTAAATGAAGTAAATTTCTAAGATGTTGGGGAGAAGGGTGGGACTAAATTATGGGGAATCAAATACAAAATGGGAGTTAACACAGTTACTTTTTGCTGATGATACTGTGCTTTTGGGAAATTCTAAAGAGAAGTTACAAAGGCTAGTGGACGAGTTTGGGAGGGTGTGTAAAGGAAGAAAGTTGAAAGTGAGCATAGATAAGAGTAAGGTGATAAGGGTATCATATCAAACGAGTTAAGTAAAGAAAAATTGGCTATCGTATTGGAGGGAGGTAGTATGAAAGAAGTGAATGTATTCAGACATTTAGGAGTAGATTTGTCAGAAGATGGGTTTATGAAGGACGAGGTTAACCGTAGAATAGGTGAAGGAAAAAAGGTGAGTGGTGCATTGAGGTATCTGTGGAGACAAAAAACCATTATCCATGGAGGCAAAAGCGAATGTATGAGAGGATAGTGGTAACAACACCTATATGGGTGTAAAGCATGGGTTGTAAATGCTGCTGCAAGGAGAAGGCTGGAGGGAGTGGAGATGTCCTGTCTAAGGGCAATGTGTGGTGTAAATGTTATGTGTGGAAATTAGGAGGTGTGGAGTTACTAAAAGTATTATTCAGAGGGCTGAAGAGGGGTTGTTGAGGTGGTTTGGTCATTTAGAGAGGATGGAGCAAAATAAGATGGCTTGGAGGGTGTATAATTCTTTTGTGGAGGGGAAGAGGGGTAATGGTCATCATAGGAAAGGATGGAGAGAGGGGGGGTAAAAGAGGTTTTGTTTGCAAAGGACCTGGACATGCAGCAAGCATGTGCGAGTGTGTTGGGAGTGAATGGAGACGATTGGTTTTTGGGACCTGACGATCTGTTGGAGTGTGAGCAGGGTAATATTTTTGTGAAGGGATTCAGGCATTGTACTTCACACCTCCAGACTTGAGTCCTGGAAGTGGGAAGCACAATGCCTGCACTGTAAAGGAGAGGTTTGGCATATTGGCTTTTTGGAGTAACTATGATCTAAACTGTCATATCTGAGCACCTCTGCAAAGACAGTGATTATGTATGAATGATGGTGAAAGTGTTTCTTTTTTGGGTCACCCTGCCTTGGTGGGAGACGGCCGATCTGTTAAAAAAAAAAATGGAGCCATCTTCCCTTCCATTCAGAACAAAACTGATCAGTTCTGCAAACTTAGTGCTCAATAAATATAACAGTATTATGTTCTTTTGGGTGTTAATGTTATCAGTATTCTTGATGCTCACTTGCTCACTTGAACTTCTTTGAAGTGATCTTTATGTTCTGTACACTATGATGTGTTCTTCACATTTAAATTTCAACATTTCAGGTTAAAAGAAGAGAAGGATGGTCTGAAGTTGGAGAAGAAGGAGAAGCAGAGAGAAGAACTGAAGCAGAAGTTGGAGAAGGACAAGGTAGAGAAGAAGATTCAGCGAGAGTTACGCAAAGAACAAAAGCGACTTCACCAGCAGTACATGAAGGAGTGGAACCGTGTGCGTGACGACCTCGACTGTGACGACCACAAGGTGAGACATATACCTAAGAATGCTTCCAAGACAGTCACCAGAGCCAGATTAAGATTTTGTAGTCCCCCGGGCCTCAGGTACTATGAGGCCCCTGGGGTACAGGTACTGTGAGCCTCCTGGGCTACAGGTACAGTGAGGCCCCTGGTCTACAGGTTCTGTGAGGCCTCTAGGCTACAGGTACAGTGAGGCCCCTGGTCTACAGGTTCTGAGGCCCCTGGGCTACCCAGGGGCTACCCAGTGAGGAGCAGGGGTGCAGTGGGGACAATAAAAGAACACTGTATCAATATTCGTGGCCCCAGACTATTCAGCATCTTACCAGAAGATATCAGACACTCAGCTGAAACGAGTTAGAAGCCTTCAAGAGGAAACTGGACAAGTATCTTCACCAGGTGCCAGATCAACCAGGCTGTGATGGGTATATGGGGTAGCAGGCCTCCAGCAGCAACAACCTGGTTGACCAGGCCACCAGACTAGCCTGGCCCATGGCTGGGCTCATAGTAGTGAGGCTCTCAAAACTCATCAGAGGTATACAGGTATGGTGAGGCTCCTGGGCCACAGGTTCCATGAGGCTTCCAGTGATATTTTCAAAAGGAAAAAAGTTAAAGAAATATTAAATTTATTTTTACAAGGCTAACCACAGTCAGAATTCAAACATTTGCTTTGTGTAACTTCTTGGAAACAAATTTCTCCAGAACACGAATAAATTGTAAGTTGAGAACATCTCTGGAGACCCTCCAGCTGGCAGAGGCCCCTGGGCTGCAGCCCCTAGAACCCATGTCTTAATCCAGCTCTGACAGTGGCCATTGTTTTCAGTGTGTGCTCTAGTCAGCTCCCTTGTCAAGCTGTTTGGTGCAGTCTTTTGTGGTGTTGATTGAAAAAATTCATCCGAAGTTGAATAGCACATGCAAAGACCTTCATAGTACATGCTTTTCCATTTGCAATCTTGTTGAATCACACAAAAATTTGCACTGAATAGAGGTTTGTATAAGAATGGATTGTACTCTCTACTTCTGTCATCAATACTTACTGTGTTCTATAGTCATCACTACTTACTGTGTACTACAGTCATCACTACTGTGTACTAGTCATCACTACTATGTACTACAGTCATCACTACTGTGTACTACAGTCATCACTACTGTGTACTACAGTCATCACTACTGTGTACTACAGTCAACACTACTGTGTACTACAGTCAACACTACTGTGTAATGCAGTCAACACTACTGTACTGCAGTCATCACTACTGTGTATGTGTACTACTGTCATCACTACTGTGTACTACCATCAACCTGTGTACTACAGTCATCACTACTTACTGTGTACTACATCTCACTACTTACTGTGTACTACTGTCGTCACTACTTACTGTGTACTACAGTCATCACTACTTACTGTGTACTACAGTCATCACTACTGTGTACTACTGTCGTCACTACTTACTGTGTACTACTGTCGTCACTACTTACTGTGTACTACAGTCGTCACTACTGTGTACTACAATCAACACTACTGTGTACTACAGTCATCACTACTGTGTACTACAGTATTACTACTGTGTACTAGTCATCACTACTGTATACTACAGTCATCACTACTGTGTACTACAGTGATCACTACTTTGTACTAGTCATCTCTGCTGTGTACTACTGTCAACACTGCTGTGTACTACAGTCATCACTACTGTGTACTAAAGTGATCACTACTTACTGTGCACTACAGTCAACACTACTTAGTGTGTACTACAGTCAACACTGCTTACTGTGTACCACATTCAACACACTACTTACTGTGTACTAGTCATGTATCATTGGTCAGTCGAGGGTAGATGTGCCCTGGGATCTATATTACCTTTTCATCTGACACCAATCATAATTCTATGTACAGGTCCACGTTCCTTCATCCGAAATTCTGAAATTCGAAAAGTTCCAAAAACCGAAGTTTTTTGTGGAGTGTGGAGCGTCGGTCACTGGCAGCCAGAGTGGCAGGCATCAGTTGTGTCTCAATGCTTGTAGTGTTCACACGTGCGTCTGCTGTTCGCTGATATTTTGTTTTTCCTTTTTATTTTGTGACTTTTAATTTCACTGTGAAAAATATTAAAAAAGAGCTGCAGATACCCCTGTGGGTAACAGTGAGAAAAAGAAAAGGAAGCACCTGACGTTATCAATAACCCAGAAAGTAGAGTTACTGCAGAAGCTTGATTGTGGTGTGTCAGTGGGGCGTCTTACTGAAGAATATGGCGTTGGAACTACCACTGTTTATGATTTAAAGAAATGGTGTTAAATTCTAATAAGCATGAGAATAGTGATGATGATACGTGAACACAGGTGAAAAAGTCCCCATAGACAATATGGTGAAAATGCGTGATCAGTTAAGTCTTTAAAAATGCCATCTGTCATAGTGCTGCTTCATCACTTGAGAATCATGTTCCTGGTCTATAATTATCCCATTATTTCAGTTATCAATATATTACTCTATAAATGAACCGTAGTAGTATTTGTAGTCTTTATTTATCCCATGTGGCTTAGCGCTTCTTTTTGATTATTATAATAATTTATTTATCCCACTTTGTGTGAGTATTCATACATTTTTGCTGCAATGTTAATGTTTGATTATGGGGTGCTGCCCAAGACCCCATCTTCATTCTGAAATTCAAAAAATTCTGGAATTCAAAACACTATGAGCCCCATGGGTTTTGGATAAAGGAATGTGTACCTGTATAATGTTTGAAATATCATTGCAGTAATGTGTATAATGTTGAAACCTTGTTACATAGTGTATATAATTGGAACATTATTAAAGTAATGTGCATAATTAAAATATTACAGTAGTGTGTATAATAGAAACATTATTACAACTGTTCATATTATTTACAACATTATTGCATTACTGTATAAAATACTTGTAGCATTACAATTCTGTAATTGGTATATAATTCAAACAATAAATTCTTGACTTAATGAACTTTTGGAACTCATGATAAAATCTGCTGACTCTGCTACTTCTGAAATTACAGACAGTCTGGTGTTTTTTTTTTTTTTTTTTTTTTTTTTTTTTGAGAATTTTCCATTACTGTCATAATCTCGTTAAAACTGTCCCATCTATGCACCACACTTGCCATTGCCGGCCACACATTGGGTTTAATTAGGATTACATTGTTTATTATGTTACTTTTTTATTTCATAACATTTTCGTAATGCTTCTCTCTGCAACAGGACCTACCAAAACCCACACCCGTTCAGTGCCGCATACCAGATGACCTGTTCAGCGACTTTATTATGGTATTAGAGTTCATCAATATTTTCTCTGACCTGGTTGAATTAAAGGATGTGTATCCGCAAGGCATAACCTTTGACATCTTGGAGCATGCGCTGGTTGAGAAGGAGGTCGCAGGTAAGACTTGTCTACTTTTTTTTTTTTTTTTTATCAACACATTGGCCATTTCCCACCAATGTAGGGTAGTCCCCCCCCCCCCCCCCCCCCAAAAAAAAAAGAGAGAGAAGAGAGAAGTATAAAAGCTTTCACCATCACTGTCTTGCCAGAAGTTTTACGCCTCTTGTCATTATCACTTAGCAAGCTTTATACCAATTTGTTCAACACTTCATTACTTTTTTTTCTAAACAGCAGTCTCCTGCCAAGGCAATGTCACCTAAAATAAAACACATTCTCCATCATTCATTCACTCTCAGCCTACTGTAGTGGAAGATAAATGAGCGATGGTGTAAGCTGACAGTGAAACGTTTATTACAATAAAGTCCATTAATGGATGAAATGTGGCAGTGAAAATGTCACTGCAGACAGTGTGTGATGCTATTAGTGGAAGAAGGCTTGTGTGGTAAAATAAGAGATTTAAACAATAACTTTACTTGTATTAATTTTATCTAATCAAACCTCCACCCCCCACCCCCTTCAATAGTCAGGTTAAGTAATTAGTTGATAAAAAAATTAATTAAAGATTATTTGGTATAGTAAAAATATATCATTTTTCTCATGTTTTGAAAAATGCTCATGTGATGAGGAATTAGAAGACAGTGAGACAGTGCACAGGCTTGTATTAACTTGAATGCATACTGCAATGTAACATTTTTATATACTGTGCTTTCACTATATGTCAGTTGTTGAGTTTTTAACTTGTGAGGTGTTGAGCAGTTGAGACCCACCTTGTGTTAACTTGTCAGGTGTTGAGTATTTGTGCTATATTGTGTATCAGCCTGTCTGGTGTTGCATATTTTCCATACACCTTGTATGTTATACCCCTTATGTTAACTTGTCAGGTGTGTTCAATGACCTCATGCAGCTGCTGTTGCAGACCATATTCACCCTGCAGGAGGAGGAAGATGATGAGGTGGAAGCTGACAACACTGCTGATGAAGGTACAACTCTTGGCTTGTCGCCTGCATGTTGCTTCTCAACTCTTGAGGTAGAAGGTGGAATTGTGGGTGACCTGGGTATATACTGTGGTGGGTGACCCAGGTGTTTACTGTGGTGGGCGACCCGGATGTATGTTGTGGTGGGTGACTTGGGTGTATACTGTGGTGGGTGACTGGGTGTATACTGTGGTCTCGTCTCACCCCTCAGGGTGACTTGCTCCAGCCTCAATAACTTGGTTTACACAGCACTACATCCACACAACACTACATCCACACAATACTACATCTGCTTATGGAGACAAATGGCACAAAGTTGACAAGTTTTGAATAAGACAATTACAGAGAAGAACTTTGAGACATTGGGTTGTAGACAGACTTCTTCAGTCAGTACACAAAGATGTGCAACAGAAAAATTTATACAAGTTCAGTGAGGTGAATGGTCAGGTCAGCAAGGATACTGTGTGAGGTAAATATCTGCAGGAAGACTGCTACATTTGGAGACATTTTCCAGGCACAAAAATTTCCTGCAGACATCATCCGGACTGCTGGGATCATGCATGCAAAATCTTCACTTCACCGAAACCAGAGGACAACACACAAGGCTCACCCTTCCTACAGGCCACACTGCAGGATGTTACACCCAGCCTCACTAAGAACAACACACAAGGCTCACCCTTTCTACAGGCCACACTGCAGGATATATTACACCCAGCCTTGCCAAGAACAACACAGGTATTGCCACTATCACAGTCAAAGAATTGACCAGGAATCAGTTCGGTCAAACATGTAGCTTTTCTTACAAAACGGGTATCAGAGGATTGGAAGGACTCCTGCAGTGCTCTCATCTCTCACACAGTGACCTTACTGACCTGTGCACTCACCTGATTAAGCACTTATAAATTTGCTTGTTTACATTCCTCTGCATTGAGTGAAGAAGCTTGTTCATTGGTGGAATGTTGCAGAGTTCCTCTACAACTATGTTTTACTACATCAACACAACACTGTAAACTGCAACTTAACAAATGACAGGAGGTTGATGATATTAAGATAAAGATATGTATTTTGTTAAAATACATAGAAGTAACATTGGATGGCTCTGATTTGTATGGTTACAGTTTCAAGAAAACATTACATCTGCATATTCTAAGGAAAGCCCATTATTATGCAAACCATTTCAGGCATTTTTTTTTTTTTACAAGTCGGCCATCTCCCACCGAGGCAGGGTGACCCAAACAAGAAAGAAAATCCCCAAAAAGAAAATACTGTCATCATCATTCAACACTTTCACCTCACTCACACATAATCACTGTTTTTTGCAGAGGTGCTCAGAACACAACAGTTTAGAAGCATATATGTATAAAGATACACAACATATCTCTCCAAACTGCCAATACCCGAACCCCTCCTTTAGAGTGCAGGCACTTTACTTCCCATTTCTAGGACTCAAGTCCGGCCATATAAAAATAACCGGTTTCCCTGAATCCCTTCACTAAATATTACCCTGCTCACACTCCAACAGCTCGTCAGGTCCCAAATACCATTCATCTCCATTCACTCCTATCTAACATGCTCACGCATGCTTGCTGGAAGTCCAAGCCCCTCGCCCACAAAACCTCCTTTACCCCCCCCCCTTCCCCTCCAACTTTTTCGAGGATGACCCCTACCCCGCCTTCCTTCCACTAAAGATTTATACGCTCTCCATGTCATTCTACTTCGATCCATTCTCTCTAAATGACCAAACAACCTCAACAACCCCTCTTCAGCTCTCTGACTAATACTTTTATTAACTCCACACTTTCTCCTAATTTCCACACTGAATTTTCTGCATCATAATCACTCCACACATTGCCCTTAGACAGGACGTCACCACTGCCTCCAACCACCTCCTCGCTGCTGCACACAACCCAAGCTTCACACCCATATAAGAGTGTTGGTACTACTATACTTTCATACATTACCTTCTTTGCCTCCATAGATAATGTTGTTGAGGTGGTTCGGACATGTAGAGAGAATGGAGCGAAACAGAGTGACTTCAAGAGTGTATCAGTCTGTAGTGGAAGGAAGGCGGGGTAGGGGTCGGCCTAGGAAAGGTTGGAGGGAGGAGATAAAGGAGATTTTGTGTGCAAGGGGCTTGGACTTCCAGCAGGCATGCGTGAGCGTGTTTGATAGGAGTGAATAGAGACAAATGGTTTTTAATACTTGACGTGCTGTTGGAGTGTGAGCAAAGTAACATTTATGAAGGGGTTCAGGGAAACTGGCAGGCCGGACTTGAGTCCTGGAGATGGGAGGTACAGTGCCTGCACTCTGAAGGAGGGGTGTTAATGTTGCAGTTTAAAAACTGTAGTGTAAAGCACCCTTCTGGCAAGACAGTGATGGAGTGAATGATGGTGAAAGTTTTTCTTTTTCGGGCCACCCTGCCTTGGTGGGAATCGGCCAGTGTGATAATAAAATAATAAATATACCTCAATGCACCACTCACCTTTTTTCCCTCGTCAATTCTATGATTAACCTCATCCTTCATAAATCCATCCGCAGACACGTCAACTCCCAGGTATCTGAAAACAGTCACTTCTTCCATACTCCTCCCCAATTTGATATCCAATTTCTCTTTATCTAAATCATTTGATACCCTCATCACCTTACTCTTTCCTATGTTCACTTTCAACTTTCTACCTTTACACACACTCCCAAACTCATCCACTAACCTTTGCAATTTTTCTTTAAAATCTCCCATGAGCACAGTATCATCACCAAAAAAGTAACTGTGTCAATTCCCATTTTGTATTTGATTCCCCATAATGTGACATTTTATTATGGCAACATTTAACTCTCTAGGAGCTTTGTCAAGCCGGCTTGGTAAAGTTCCTGGAGGGCGAAGTGTTGCCACATTAAAATGTCACATTAGTTGCACTTGTGTCCTTTTACCTAACATATTGTCAGAAATTCTACCAATGTTAATACAGGCATATGCTGCAATGTGAACTTTTTAATTCTTCCTTGGCAGTGATGGAAGCCAACACTAGTGACATTACCATACACGAGGCAGTGCGGGTAGCTAACCGTGCATCCACCTGGAGTCAGCAGTACCATGGGCTACCACTGCAGAAGGTACCACTGGATGCCCTAACTGTCACTGAGATCTTACGCTTGCATCTCCTAGCATCAGGGGCTACCAGTGTTGCCAATGGACAGTGGAGGTAAACATTGGTGTATTTTCCATGTATTATTCACTTTTTTTTTTTTTTAACACGCTGGACGTCTCCCACCAAGGCAGAGTGACCAAAAAAGAAACACTTTCACCATCATTCACGCTATTACTGTCTTACCAGAGGCAGGCAGATGCGATAGTTTAGATTTCACTCTAAACAGCAAATATCCCAAACCCCACCTTTAGAATGCAGAGCATTGTACTTCCCATCTCCAGAACTCGAGTCTAGCTAAGCAGTTTCCTTAAATCCCTTCACAAAATATTACCCTGCTCACGCTCCAACAGCTCGCACATGCCTGCTGTATATCCAAGCCCCTTACACACAAAACCTCATTTACCCCCTCCTTCCAGTCTTCCCTAGGATGACCCCTACCCCACCTTTCTAGTCATCCTGTTTTGCTCCATCCTCTCAAAATAACCAAACCACTTCAACAACCCCTCCTCAACCCTCTGAATAATACTTTTAGTAACTCCACACCACCTAATTTCCACACTACAAATTCTCTGCAATAATATTTATGCCACTGCTTCCAGCCTCCTCACTGCAACATTTGCAACCGATGCTTCACACCCATAAAAAGAGTGTTGGTATTACTATACTTTTTCATACATTACCTTCTTTACCTCTATGGACAACATTTTGTCTCCACAGATACTTCATTGCACTGCCCACACTTTTTCCTTCACCAGTTCTGTGGTTTGCCTCATCCTTCATGTACCCATCCACCAACATGTCTCCTCCCAAATATCTGAACACATTCACTTCTTCCTTACTCACTCCCTCCAATCTGGTATCCAATTTTTCCTTACCTAACTCATTTGATACCCTCATCACTTACTCTTACCTATGTTCATTTTCAACTTCTTCCTTTATACACCCTCCCAAACTTGTCCACTAACCTTTGCAACTTTTCTGCTGTATCATCAACAGAAAGTAACTATGTCAAATCCCACTTTGTATTTGACTCTGCATAATTTAATCTCACCCTCCATGTAACCCTAATTTTATTAAGCAAACAGCTGGATGCAAGTGTCCCTGACTTACTGATACTAGAATTACAGTGATCTGTTTTTATTAACCAAATCAACAAAAGATAAGTTGAGAAAGTTTTTGAATGAATGTAGATCTGCAGAGTTACATATGTGTACACATAAGTCACATTTCTAACCTTATTTTCTGTAGGAAAATTGCTTCAGGGTTATAAACACCTCTGTAGTTGACACACTGGCAACACCACTTGCTCATAATTTAAAGCACCAAGCACACAACTTGCTCATACGTTGGAACACCTGAAGGGCAACTTGTTCACAAGCTCAAATGCTGGTAATGCAGTTCATTTGCAGAAATGAACTCTCTTGTAATTTTAAGTTGCAGGAGTCCTTGTGGAAGCACCAGCTGCTGGAGACAAATAACAAAACCCACAGTTGCCCTGTGAGTGCACACAGCTGCCCTGCCAAGTGTACACAGCTGCCCTGCAAGTGCAAACAGCTGCCCTGCCAAGTGTACACAGCTACCCTGCCAAGTGTACACAGCTACCCTGCGAGTGCACACAGTTCTGGCATTAGTTCATTCTTTGTAACTACAGTGCATGATATCAAGGTTCCACACGTGCGCACACACATGCACACGCGCACATGCACATGCGTGCACACACATGCATATGCGGTAGTGGAGGTTCACACATGCATATGTGGTAGTGGAGGTTCACACATGCATATGCGGTAGTGGAGGCAGGAACCATACATAGCTTTAAAATGAGGTATGATAAAGCTCATGGAGCAGGGAGAGAGAGGACCTAGTAGCACTCAGTGAAGAGGCGGGGCCAGGAGCTGAGTTTCAACCCCTGCAACCACAATTAGGTGAGTACACGCATGCACACATGCACACGCATGCACACTCACACATGCATGCATGCATGCATACACACACACAGATGTACTCATCAAAATGTATACACATTGCAGATGTTGATCCCCAGACACACCATACATGAGCTAGGGATAGGTAAGTGCCCACTTTAGGGCAAGCAGGGCATAGTCACTACATAATAACTGCCTTCTGAGAGTATGTCCACAGTTTTTGGTTAGTTTAGTTATAGTGTGTAGGTAAGGATTAAGCTTTATAATGACAGTGAGCCCTAGATAGTGTAATTGCAAGAGCTCTGGATCCAAGAAATTGGAATAATCCTCTTCCTCCATTCCCCTCCCTCCTTCCTCTGATGAATCGTGATCATTTTTTGTTCATGTGTGGCCCCTGTGGGTTTAGTGCCCCCTCCCCAGAGTGTAATACTGCACCAAGCGACATAACGTGTGTTCTCCAACAGGCACTTCAACCGTGGTGGCTTCAAGAACTGGGATGACCCTGGACTACACTTCAAACTCCATGAACCAATGATAATTAAATCCCTCGCTACACAAACTATATTTGACCTACCCTTAGGTATGTAGCACTGTATACCTTAGTTGTTTGGTACTGTACACCTTAGTTATGTGGTGATGTACACCTTAGTTTTGTGATACTTCTTTCTTTTCTTTCAACACACCGGCCGTATCCCACTGAGGCTGGGTGGCCCAAAAGGAAAAACGAAAGTTTCTCCTCTTACATTTAGTAATATATGCAGGAGAAGGGGTTACTGATTTTTCAAGAAATGATGACCCAGCACCTCTTATAGTCTGGGCAAAATTACGAGGGCACTGAACACTCCCATGACTGCCAGATGAGTTGACCGGGCGGCCACAGGTCTTGTCTGTAGCCAGCATTCACTCACATTGTTCATGCTGCAGTTGTTGGTGGTGATTCTTTGAGTTTTGTGCAATTCTTAGCTTATTTTTCTTATATTCAGCATTAGCTATGGCTAATAAGAGTAGTAGGTTGGTAGACAGCAACCACCCAGGGAGGTACTACCGTCCTGCCAAGTGAGTGTAAAGCAAAAGCCTGTAATTGTTTTACATGATGGTAGGATTGCTGGTGTCTTTTGTCTGTCTCGTAAATATGCAAGATTACAGGTACGTCTTGCTACTTCTACTTACACTTAGGTCACACTACACATACATGTACAAGCATATATAGACACACCCCTCTGGGTTTTCTTCTATTTTCTTTCTAGTTCTTGTTTATTTCCTCTTATCACCATGGGGAAGTGGAACAGAATTCTTCCTCCGTAAGCCATGTGTGCTGTAAGAAACGACTAAAATGCCGGGATCAAGGGCCTAGTAACTCCTTCTCCTGTATAAATTACTAAATTTAAAAAGAGAAACTTGGGTTTTTCTTTTTGGGCCACCCTGCCTTGGTGGGATACAGCCGGTTTGTTGGACAAAAAAAAATACATGAGTGGGTGTGGGTGAGTGTGAATTGGACCTGACTAGCTTGTGCTACTAGGTCTGATGCCGTGACCTGACTAGGTGGGTCATTGGGCTAATCTGGGGTGGGGACATGGACCTGATTCGCATAGGTCAATAGGCCTGCTGCAGTATTCCTTCTTTCTTATGTTCTTAAATATAGTACAAGGTATGATAGAGCACGTAATGAAAGTAGTTTGTTAGATTATGTATTGGTGGATAAAAGGTTGATGGGTAGGCTCCAGGATGTACATATTTATAGAGGGGCAACTGATATTCTTCTTCTTTCAACAAACCGGCCATATCCCACCGAGGCAGGGTGGCCCAAAAATAAAAACGAAAGTTTCTCTTTTCAAATTTAGTAATTTATACAGAAGGGGTTACTAGCCCCTTGTTCCCGGCATTTTAGTCGCTTTTTACAACATGCATGGCTTACGGAGGAAGAATTCTGCTCCACTTCCCCATGGAGACAAGAGGAAATAAACAAGAACAAGAACTAGAAAGAAAATAGCAGAAAACCCAGAAGGGTGTGTATATATATGCTTGTACATGTATGTGTAGTGTGACCTAAGTGTAAGTAGAAGTAGCAAGACGTACCTGAAAGCTTGCAAGTTTCGTGAGACAGAAAAGAGACACCAGCAATCCTACCATCATGTAAAACAATTACAGGCTTTCGTTTTACAATCACTTGGCAGGACGGTAGTACCTCCCTGGGCGTTTGTTGTCTACCAACCTACTACCTAGAAGGGCAACTGATATATCGGATCATTATTTAGCTGTAGCTACAGTTAGAGTAAGAGGTAGATGGGACAAGAGGAAAATGGCAACAAGAAGTAAGAGGGAGGTGAAAGTGTATAAACTAAGGGAAAAGGAAGTTTGGGTGAGATATAAGCAACTATTGGCAGAAAGGTGGGCTAGTGCAAGTATGAGTAGTGGGAGGGGTTGAAGAGGGTTGGAATAGTTTTCAAAATTCAGTATTAGAATGTGGGGCAGAAGTTTGTGGTTATAGGAGGGTGAGTGCAGGAGGAAAGAGGAGTGATTGGTGGAATGGTGAAGTAAAGGGTGTGATAAAAGAGAAAAAGGTAGCCTTTGAGAGGTTTTTACAAAGCAGAAGTGTTATAAGAAGAGCAGAGTATATGGAGAGTAAAAGAAAGGTGAAGAGAGGGGTGAGAGAGTGCAAAAGGAGAGCAGATGATAGAGTGGGAGAGGCACTGTCAAAAAATTTTAATGAAAAAATGAAAAAAATTTGGAGTGAGTTAAATAGTCAACTATGAAACAGTAATCCTGACAACCCTCAACTTCCAGACCTTTGTGAAAGAGAGAGAGGGGGAGAGAGGGATCTTAGCCCCCTTATTCTTGCTGCCTACTTTTGCCGTGTTGGAGATAATTTCTCCACAGTGATTATCTCTGCAGTTCCAATAAATTTTGAAATTTACTACTACTTATAAAGTGGTAATACTGCAACATTCTTTGTAATTGTATTAATTAGTAAACCTGTTTTATTTATACTAATGTTTAACTTTCTATCAGTCTGTGGGGTTTGAGAGACACTGGGAGGTGTATAGTTAGTGGGTCAGAGGTGTATTATTGAATTATTATTATTAGGTAAACTCTTGTCAGTACAGCAAGACTTTGGCCCCAAAGGTGTGGGGAAATCAGTGGTGTACTTGTACATTATTAGGGTATCCCGCACCCCTTACTCCAAAAAAAAAAAAATTGAAACATATCCACCATCTTTCATTCAATCACTGCCTTGCCAGAAGTATGCTGACATCACAGTTCAGATCATCTTCTGAACTGCAGCATCCTCACCCCTCTTTCAGAAAGCAGGCTTTACTGTACTTTACACCTCCAGGATTCAAGTCTGACTAATTGGTTTCCCTGAATCTCTTCACGATGTTAACTTGTCCACAATCCAGTGGCATTCCAAGTCATCAGCACCACTTGTCTCCACTCGCTGTCTGACAGGTTCACACAAGTCTGTTAAATGTTCAAACTTCTAGCCCCCATCTCTTCCAAGGACAATCCCTACCCTTCCTTCATTTCACCCCATACACATTTCTCCTAGTTATCCTATTTTGCTTCATCCTCTCTAAATGTTCAGACCACCTCAACACCATCTCTGCCCTATTGAGTTATAGTTTTGGTAACCCCAATTCTTCTTTTAATCTTATGCTTTGAATTCTCTGCATGATATTGATGCCATGCATTACATTCCAAGACTGCCTCCAGCATCTTCTCTATATAATTTAAAATCCATTCGTCATACCCAGTTAAGTGTTGGTACCACTAGACTGGTACACTCCCATTGTTGCCTTGTTGGTGACACTGTTGAAGTGTCACTAAATAAACAAATGAGAGGTGTAGAGACATGGGCACAAGCAATGTGATGAGATTTGTTATTGACAGTTGTTTCACCCACCCAGCAGGCAAAACATTGACAGTAATGATGACTTGGTAAACTACAGAAGCCCACTGCATAGATGATGTATTGTCAGTATTGTATCTCGTTGCACTACATTTGTGTGTGTTTTCGAGTGAAAGGTGTAGTGAACAGTATCACAGGTCACTACACCTGTCCCTAGGTTTGGAAAGACATGTAAGAAAACACTAGGACATATTTATTAGAAAACGTTTCAGCCCTGGGATCGGTCAAGATCTCAGGACCGAAATTTTTTCTAATAAATATGTCCTAGTGTTTGCTTACATGTCTTTCTAAACCAATTTGTAGGGCTCTGTTACCAAGGTTTATGCCACACATACCCTTAAGCAATTCATACATTTTTATTATTATATTATCACACTGGCCGATTCCCACCAAGGCAGGGTGGCCTGAAAAAGAAAAACTTTCAGCATCATTCACTCCATCACTGTCTTGCCAGAAGGGTGCTTTACACTACAGTTTTTAAACTGCAACATTAACACCCCTCCTTCAGAGTGCAGGCACTGTACTTCCCATCTCCAGGACTCAAGTCCGGCCTGCCGGTTTCCCTGAACCCCTTCATAAATGTTACTTTGCTCACACTCCAACAGCACGTCAAGTATTAAAAACCATTCGTCTCCATTCACTCCTATCAAACACGCTCACGCACGCCTGCTGGAAGTCCAAGCCCCTCGCACACAAAACCTCCTTTACCCCCTCCCTCCAACCTTTCCTAGGCCAACCCCTACCCCGTCTTCCTTCCACTACAGACTGATACACTCTTGAAGTCATTCTGTTTCGCTCCATTCTCTCTACATGTCCGAACCACCTCAACAACCCTTCCTCAGCCCTCTGGACAACAGTTTTGGTAATCCCGCACCTCCTCCTAACTTCCGAACTACGAATTCTCTGCATTATATTCACACCACACATTGCCCTCAGACATGACATTTCCACTGCCTCCAGCCTTCTCCTCGCTGCAACATTCATCACCCATGCTTCACACCCATATAAGAGTGTTGGTAAAACTATACTCTCATACATTCCCCTCTTTGCCTCCAAGGACAAAGTTCTTTGTCTCCACAGACTCCTAAGTGCACCACTCACCCTTTTCCCCTCATCAATTTTATGATTCACCTCATCCTTCATAGACCCATCCGCTGACACGTCCACTCCCAAATATCTGAATACATTCACCTCCTCCATACTCTCTCCCTCCAATCTGATATCCAATCTTTCATCACCTAATATTTTTGTTATCCTCATAACCTTACTCTTTCCTGTATTCACTTTTAATATTCTTCTTTTGCACACCCTACCAAATTCATCCACCAATCTCTGCAACTTCTCTTCAGAATCTCCCAAGAGCACAGTGTCATCAGCAAAGAGCAACTGTGACAACTCCCACTTTATGTGTGATTCTTTATCTTTTAACTCCACGCCTCTTGTCAAGACCCTTGCATTTATCTTTTACTCCACGCCTCTTGTCAAGACCCTCGCATTTACTTCTCTTACAACCCCATCTATAAATATATTAAACAACCACGGTGACATCACACTTCCTTGTCTAAGGCCTACTTTTACTGGGAAATAATTTCCCTCTTTCCTATGTACTCTAACTTGAGCCTCACTATCCTCGTAAAAACTCTTCACTGCTTTCAGTAACCTACCTCCTACACCATACACCTGCAACATCTGCCACATTGCCCCCCTATCCACCCTGTCATATGCCTTTTCCAAATCCATAAATGCCACAAAGACCTCTTTAGCCTTATCTAAATACTGTTCACTTATATGTTTCACTGTAAACACCTGGTCCACACACCCCCTACCTTTCCTAAAGCCTCCTTGTTCATCTGCTATCCTATTCTCCATCTTACTTTTAATTCTTTCAATAATAACTCTACCATGCACTTTACCAGGTATACTCAACAGACTTATCCCCCTATAATTTTTGCACTCTCTTTTGTCCCCTTTGCCTTTATACAAAGGAACTATGCATGCTCTCTGCCAATCCCTAGGTACCTTACCCTCTTCCATACATTTATTAAATAATTGCACCAACCACTCCAAAACTATATCCCCACCTGCTTTTAACATTTCTATCTTTATCCCATCAATCCCGGCTGCCTTACCCCCTTTCATTTTACCTACTGCCTCACGAACTTCCCCCACACTCACAACTGGCTTTTCCTCATTCCTACAAGATGTTATTCCTCCTTGCCCTATACACGAAATCACAGCTTCCCTATCTTCATCAACATTTAACAATTCCTCAAAATATTCCCTCCATCTTCCCAATACCTCTAACTCTCCATTTAATAACTCTCCTCTCCTATTTTTAACTGACAAATCCATTTGTTCTCTAGGCTTCCTTAACTTGTTAATCTCACTCCAAAACTTTTTCTTATTTTCAACAAAATTTGTTGATAACATCTCACCCACTCTCTCATTTGCTCTCTTTTTACATTGCTTCACCACTCTCTTAACCTCTCTCTTTTTCCATATACTCTTCCCTCCTTGCATCACTTCTACTTTGTAAAAACTTCTCATATGCTAACTTTTTCTCCCTTACTACTCTCTTTACATCATCATTCCACCAATCGCTCCTCTTCCCTCCCGCACCCACTTTCCTGTAACCACAAACTTCTGCTGAACACTCTAACACTACATTTTTAAACCTACCCCATACCTCTTCGACCCCATTGCCTATGCTCTCATTAGCCCATCTATCCTCCAATAGCTGTTTATATCTTTCCGTAACTGCCTCCTCTTTTAGTTTATAAACCTTCACCTCTCTCTTCCCTGATGCTTCTATTCTCCTTGTATCCCATCTACCTTTTACTCTCAGTGTAGCTACAACTAGAAAGTGATCTGATGTATATGTGGCCCCTCTATAAACATGTACATCCTGAAGTCTACTCAACAGTCTTTTATCTACCAATACATAATCCAACAAACTACTGTCATTTCGCCCTACATCATATCTTGTATACTTATTTATCCTCTTTTTCTTAAAATATGTATTACCTATAACTAAACCCCTTTCTATACAAAGTTCAATCAAAGGGCTCCCATTATCATTTACACCTGGCACCCCAAACTTACCTACCACACCCTCTCTAAAAGTTTCTCCTACTTTAGCATTCAGGTCCCCTACCACAATTACTCTCTCACTTGGTTCAAGGGCTCTTATACATTCACTTAACATCTCCCAAAATCTCTCTCTCTCCTCTGCATTCCTCTCTTCTCCAGGTGCATACACGCATACATACATATCAACACTTATGGTAAAGTGTAGTATCAAAAGAATTCTTGCCTGTATAATAAGGGTAAACTCTGCCTTTCTTAATTGGTACAAAATATTTATGACTCGGTGTTATGCAGGGTTCTCCATGACATCGTATGTACATATTAGTGGGGAAGTGTGCCATAATAATATGAATATTGTAGTTGTAAGGAATAATTTTATAATTCATAATGTGCTTTTGGAGGTACTGTAAAGTACTCTAACTATAATTATAAAGAATGGAGTTAGTGATTTATTTTCCAAGGATGTTTGGGTACGCAGAGTAAGCGTGGGGGAGGAGGTCACGTGACCTCCTCCCCCACGCTTACTCTGCGTACCCAAACATCCTTGGAAAATAAATCACTAACTCCATTCTTTATAATTATAGTTAGAGTACTTTACAGTACCTCCAAAAGCACATTATGAATTATAAAATTATTCCTTACAACTACAATATTCATATTATGGCACACTTCCCCACTAATATGTACATACGATGTCATGGAGAACCCTGCATAACACTCGGGAAATCGTAATAACACAATTAGAAACAAATCATGGAATGGGTGGGACTTAAGCCCATGATGAGAGAGTCCTGAAACTCACAGGTCAGGGTTAACCACTTGGCCAGCTGGCTACAATAAGATCCATCCTGCTAGGTATAGTTCTGTACACCATAGGAAGGTTAGCATCAGCCACCACTGTGGTCACAGTGGTGGCTCATGTTAACCTTGTGGTGTATAGAAATACAGGTACTCCTCACTTAACGACCGAGTTCCATTCCTAAGAGTTGGTTATAAGCGATCCATTCCTAAGAGTAGGTCAGTAAGCAAATTGGTTGTTAAACAAGGAGCTGCCCTTTCTGATATTTCAAGCATACTGTACTGGTGGTGGGTTTGTGTCAACCATCTTTAGATATTGTTTTAATGTCACCTGTGCACCATTTATAACATTTTTACTATACAGCCTATCCTCACTTAGCAACGCCTTGGACTTATGACGGACACTCTGACCAGTATTCATACCTAAATAATGTACATATTAGAACTGATTTCCTCTATTCTGTTTGTTTCATTATACAGAACATTACTGTATAAACATTTAAAAATATACCAGAAATGTTATAACTGGTGCAAAGGTGATATTAAAACAATGTCAAAGATGGTTGACACAAACTCACTACTACCATTATTGTATGCTCCTCACTTGGCGATGAATTCATTTACCGACGTTGTCTTAGGAATGGAACTCCGTCGTTAAGTGAGGAGAGATTGTATTAAAAACAGAAGTGGGCATTAAAAAACAATAAAAAAGTAAAATACACATACAATACGGTGGTTGGAGAGCTGGTCGTAAGTCCAATTGGTCATTAAGTCAGGAGTACCTGTATACCTAGTTGGATGGATCTTGTTAGAGCCAGCTGGCCCAGTGGTTAACACTCTGGCCTCTTAGTTTTAGTACTCGCTTGTCATGGCTTCAATCCCCACCTGTTCCCCCCCCCCCCCACTCCTTTTTTTTTTAAATTTGGATTTTTATGTTTATAAATGTTCATAAGGAACATTCAAAGCATATTTTATGATAATTGTAATGTTAAGTGGACTTTACTATCAAGAGCACCTTATATACTGTGTGTAAACTATCAGGGGGGTCTGTTACCTACCAGTCTAACCAATTAATATTTGTCCAAACTAGTGTATGGTTAACATTTTTGCTTGGTTATAGTGTACAAGTTGAAGATACTGAGTGTGCTGGTGGCACAGATCCTGACTTATGCCTCAGTGAGAGACATTATTGATGACAATATAGAGAAGCTGCGGGAGGTGAAGAACAAGCTGCGTCTGCACCAGTTAGCACAGATCAAGAAGGAGAAGGAAATTAACTCTGCCAGGTACCATTATAGTTTTCACTATTTCTTCATAATACAAAAAGTACAAAAATTTAATATGGAATAAGTACTGTAATGTATTATGTACAGTGTTTCCATCTCTGGCTGCATAGATATATAAGTAGTACTGCATGTGTTTATGTGAGTACTTTCATACCAGGGGAAAACAGGAAGATGCTACTAATTACAGTATTGATGAACAATAATATTTTCAGCTGTGTGGTTTAGGATCAGTGGGGATGTTACAGTTGGAAGGGTCATCTGAACTGCATTGTTGGCATGACTCTGGTAAGACAGTGATGGAGTGAATGATGGTGCAGGCTTTTTCTTTTTCTGGTCACCATACTTTGGTGGAAGATGGCAAGTGTGTTAATAAGAAAAAAAAATTATTTTACACAAATAACTCGCACATAGGAAACCGAAACTTATGGCGATGCTTTGGTCCGACTTAGACCATTAACTAGTCACGTAGAAGCATGAAGGAAAGGGAGCCAGAATATATATGAGGGGATGGGAGTAATAGTAGTAGTAATAACAGTGGCAGTAAGAAAGTAGTGGTGGTAGTGATAAAAGGAGCAGAGAGTGGACTATTAGCAAAGAAAAAATTAGTAGTCGTAGTGGAGGTAGTCTATGAGAACATGATATGACCATATTACAGTAATTTGGTTATATGCATCTTGTTTTAATGAAAATATAAACCAAGATTTTTCCATTTACGTATTAGTGTGGGGCAGTGGTTTAGTGTTTACTTGGGAGTAGAGTGGCTTGATGAAACTGCTTTAACGCAAGCCTGGATTAACCCAAGCTTGGGTTAATGCAAGGTTGGATTAACACGAGGCCGGGTTAATGCTAGGCTGGGTTAATGCTAGGCTGGATTAACACAAGGCTGGGTTAACGCAAGGCTGGGTTAACGCAAGACTGGGTTAATGCGAGGCTGGATTTATACTTCGTGCTGTCACTTTAACTGACATCTCGGCAGCAACATTGCCCAAAGCTTGTCTATTATCTCCAATGCTTGCTTGAAATGTCCACTCTGTAACAGCATGTGTACACTGTGGTTCATGTATTGTAGACTGCAGGAGAAGCGCGAGCGCAAGCAGAAAGAGCGTGATCGACTGCTCAGGGAGGCGGAGAAAAAAGCTGCTGCTGCAGCTATGACTGGGGAAGCTGACAATCCCATCGAGCTGGACGAGGACGAGGAGGAAGACGATGACGAGGAAGAGGAGGATGAAAGTGAGAAGGCAGCACGAGAAGAAAAAGAGGAGAAGAACAAGGAAGCAAGAAAGCAAGACTTTCTAAAACGAGAGAGAGAGCTGATGCAGCAGGTGAGTCGAGGGTTTACTTAACTTTATTCGTGTTTTGGATTCTCTCTCTTCTCCTCCACACTTCACTTCCTGCTTCTCTTTTCATACTCTTCAGTTTTTGCTTTCAGTTTCTCTTCATTCTGTAGTTCCTGCTTTCAGTTTCTTTTCATTCTTTAGCTTCTGCTTTCAGCTTTTGTCTACACTTCTTTCAGCTGTGCTAATCTCACAATTTTCATAACCCCCCTTTCTCCTGTAACCTAAAGTAGAAAATATATTATTTTTGTTTTTATGCTTTCAAAATTGTTCTTTGTTTCAAGTGGACATAGTAAATGTGCTGTGGATAGATGGTACTGTATGTGCAACATGTTGCTGGATGGGACATGGGAGTGTAGTGGATGGGACATGGGAGCATAATGGATGGGTCATGGAAGTGTAATGGATGGGACACGGGAGCATAGTGGATGGGACATGGAAGCATAGCAGATGGTACATGGGAGTGTAGTGGATGAGGTGAGGCACTACAGTGATGATGGGCATTTTTCACATCAACCATCTTTCATCATAATGGGATGGATAAGAAAAAATCCACCACTCCATCAGAGTGCTGGCATTGTACTTTCCACATCCATGATTGTCATATCTCCATCACTCCTTCAGTGTGCAGGCACTATACCTCCTACCCCCAGAACTGTAACATCCTCACCCATCCTTCGGAGTGCAGGCATTGTACTTCCCACTTCTAGGACTGAAATTCAGCTAACCAGTGTTGCCGAAGTCTTTCATAAATGATACCTGACTCACACTTTAGAGTCTGAAAATGGAAGTGATGACTCAGGTGGGTTAGTTCAGGATTATCCAGTCATTAAAACCATGGTTGTAGCCCCATAACACAAAAATTGGAAGCAGAGCAATCACAAAAACTTAGACAAATGTCACTAATGTCCCACATTATCAAAATCTTTGAAAGCTCTATTTTTCTAAACACAAGCAACGATAAGAGTTGCACAACCCAGTCTACAAGGTTTCAGAGCTTGTTGATTCTGCCTCTTGCACTTGCAACATGGTCTTCTATGCATTGAAAAACTAGCAAGATGCAGAAGTATACACAAACTTTGCAAAAGCCTTCGACAAGTGTGACCATGGTGTAATAGCATGTACAATTTAGCAATAGTCAACAAAGTAAAAATCATAGGCTTCTATAGGGAGAAGCTCTCTTCCTCAAGGCTCAATACTTAACCCAATTCTACTTTTCATTTTTATATCTGACATCTGCAGAGATATTAATCATGATATAAAGAAGGCTTCTAGTAGACCAAAGAGAGCATTATGATGTTTAACCCTTTGAGGGTTTCGGCCGTACTAGTACGGCTTACGACCCAGGGTTTTTGACGTACTAGTACGCCTAAATTCCAGTGCCTTCAAATCTAATGAGAGAAAGCTGGTAGGCCTACATGTGAAAGAATGGGTCTATGTGGTCAGTGTGTGCAGTATAAAGAAAATCCTGTAGCACACAGTGCGTAATGAGAAAAAAAAACTTTGACCGTGTTTTTGGAATAAAACAGCGACTTTGCACTGTATTTTCGTATGGTATTTATTGTTGTATTCTAGTTTTCTTGGTCTCATTTTATAGAATGGAAGATATATTACAGAAATTGAGGTGATTTTGACTGGATTTACAATGAAAAGTACCTTGAAATTGAGCGCAAAGTAGCAGAAATGTTCGATTTTTATCAAAGTTCAAAAGTAAACAAATCATGCCAAGCATCCAATACACGTCAACTGGTGAGTCTAATATTCTTTCACAAGTGCATTGATATTATTTATACCATTTCTACACTAATGCAGTAGTCTGCATAACAGTAACTCTTCTATTTTTGTAAGAATAAAAATTCAGAATGGAAAGCCAAAGAAATATAAGAGAGGCCTGGGGATGTGACTAACGAACAGAGAACTTGTTATTTTAGTGCCAGGAATGTCTTTTTTGTTTATTCTGGACCCTATTCGGAAATTGGCATCTTTTGAAATTTGCGTGAAATTGGCAAAATTGCTAAATTCTGACCACTTTATTGGATGGTTGAAATTGGTAAATGGGTGGTTTCTTGTACTCATTCGATAGAAAAAATGGAGTTCTAGCGAAATAGTTATGATTTTTGTCGACTAGTACATTGGAATTAGTCGAAAATAGGGCTCAAAGTGGGCAAAATCACCGATACGTAAACATCGTCAAGACCGCTAACTTCGCGAGAGCATAATTCCGTAAGTTTTCCATCAAATTTCATATTTTTGGTGTCATTATGATCGGGAAAATATTCTCTATCTTTTCATAAGAAAAAAATTTTTTTTTTTTTTTTAAATTTGGCCGACCCTGAAAACAAGTTTTGGAGAGGGCCTGTCGACCCTCAAAGGGTTAAGGTTGATAAATTCCAGTTACTGCACTATGGAAAATTTGAGAATTAGAAACTGGAACCAAAGTAAAACAAATTTGAACCATTAAATAGAGCAGGGGAAGACTGAGAGTGTGAACAAGGTAACATTTACTAAGGTATTTGGGAAACTGGTTAGCTGGACTTTGAGTCCTGGAGGTGAGATGTACAATTCCTGCACTCTGAAGGGAGGATAAGGATGTTGCAGTTTGGAAGGCCATCTGGACTATATCAGCATGTTTCTGTCAAGACAATGATTGAATGAATGACAGTAAATGTGAGTCTGCTTTTTATTGGGAGATAGCTGACATGTTAAAAATCTTTATATGTTAACTCATGTATTTTGTAGTGATTTCTTCTCATACTGCAGCTTGTTTATTTATGTTGTAATGGAAAATAGACAAAGTAGGATTTCATATTGTCTGTCTCTAGTAATTCAAATAAAATTGTCAAATTTTAATAATTATCTTTTATTCTCAGGTTCTTAATATGGCACAGGGTGTTAACTGTACTCCCTTGGGCCAGGACCGAGCATATCGTCGATACTGGTTGTTCAGTTCTCTGCCTGGTTTATTTGTGGAAGATAATGAGCTCAATCCCGGGGTGTGCCGAGACACTCCGACGCCCTACAACCCACAGTCCGCCGCTGAGCTGACAGAAGCACTTGAGAAACGCTCCTTGGTTGAAGCCAAGAAGAACTTGGCAGAAATAACCACCGAGAAAGACGACAAGAACAATAGTGACAAAGAAAATGATGGAAGCCAAAAGCTTGCCAAGCCTCTTACGGTCATCCCCAATAAAAAATTGTTAAAGATGCCTAATAACAATCAGTCGTCAGGTCAGATCAAAACTGAGAAAAATCTGGTGAATTTGTCTTCACCTGCTAATGATGCCAAATCAGATTTAAAAATGAATGGGAATGTACCAAAAATGATGAATTGTGAAGTGAAGTTAGAGGTGATGCCAAATCACAGTGAGTCCACCATTTGTGTTAAATCTGAAAAATCTCTTCCGATATTACCTTCATCCACTAATAGTACTGAATCTGAATTAAAAATGGATGCACTTACACCAAAAATAAATTGTGAGGTGAAGTTGGAAGTGATGACCAATCATAATGAGTTGGTCAGTCCATCAGTCACTAATGGCATGGATTCTATATTAAATACGGCCTTAAACGCACCTGTAATGGTGAATGGTGACAACGAATGTGAAGGCGTCAGTGTCAGAGAGGAGTCAGTGACCTATGGTGTAAATAGTCCTGGACCAGCACCAGATATATTTGGTCTATGTACAGCTGATCCCCAAAGCTGTCCAGTGCACGCTAATAGAAATAATAAACACAAATGGTTCTTTTTCCACAAAATAGAAGACCTGAATTCTCTTATTTCTTCTCTGAATAGTAGAGGTTATCGAGAAGGAGAACTAAAGAATGTGTTAGAGTGCTATAAGACTGCAGCTGAGAATTCCATGAAAGCTTGTCCAGTGTTCAAACTTGATCCATCTCAGGTAGGTCTACTTTATTATGTACATATGAAATTAAGAAAGCCTAGGGAATGAATGGATTTTTCAGTTAAATAGAGAGTAGGGGAGTTAGTAGATGGGGAGCTGGAGGTATTGGGCAGATGGTGTGAATATTTTGAGGAACTTTTAAATGTCTACGAAGAAAGGGAGGCGGCAATTTCTTGCACGGCCAGGGAGGTATAACATCTTTTAGGAGTGAAGAAGAGCAGGATGTGACTGGGGGAGGTGCATGATGCATTACATGGAATGAAAAGGGGTAAAGCAGCTGGAACTGACAGGATCAAAACAAATGTTAAAAGCAGGGGGGGGGGGATATAGTGTTGGAGTGGTTGGCATTTTTATTTAGAAAAGGCATATGATAGTGGATAGGGGAGCAATGTGGCAGATATTGCAAGTATATGGAATAGGTAGTAAGTTACTAAATGCTGTAAAGAGTTTTTATGAGGATAGTGAGGCTCAGGTTAGGGTGTGTAGGAGAGAGAGGGAGATTACTTCCCAGTAAAAGTAGGTCTTATACAGGGATGTGTAATGTCACCATGGTTGTTTAACCCTTAAACGGTCCAAATGTATATATACGTTCACGTGCGTAGCGCCCCAAACGTATATATATATGTGTAATAAAGGTGGTAGAATTACCGACAATATGTAAAGTAAAAGGACACAAGTGCAACTAATGTGACATTTATTGTGGCAACGTTTCGCTCTCCAGGAGCTTTATCAAGCCATTACGTAATGGCTTGATAAAGCTCCTGGAGAGCGAAACGTTGCCACAATAAATGTCACATTAGTTGCACTTGTGTCCTTTTACTTTACATATACAGTGGACCCCCGGTTAACGATCACCTCCAAATGCGACCAATTATGTAAGTGTATTTATGTAAGTGCGTTTGTACGTGTATGTTTGGGGGTCTGAAATGGACTAATCTACATCACAATATTCCTTATGGGAAAAAATTCGGTCAGTACTGGCACCTGAACATACTACTGGAATGAAAAAAGTTCGTTAACCGGGGGTCCACTGTATATATATTTTCTTTGTCATTCATGTAACACTGCCACGATAAGCCTGAGTCACCTAGACATGAGAGAATGGGTGTGCGCACTCACTGTGCACCATATTAAAATAATTGGGGATGCCTGGGTACCATATGCTCTTTTTTTCCTATTAAAATTTTTTTTTTTTTTTTCTCTCAAAAAATTTGGGACGCTATGCGAGTGAACATATACATATATACGTTTGGACCGTTTAGGGGTTAATATATTTATAGATGGGGTTGTAAAAGAAAAAATGCTAGGGTGTTGGGGAGAGGGGTGGGATTAAATTATGGGGAATCAAATACAAAATGGTAGTTGGCATAGTTACTTTTTGCTGATGATACTGTGCTTATGGGAGATTCTAAAGAAAAGTTGCAAAGGTTAGTGGACGAGTTTGGGAGGGTGTGTAAAGGTAGAAAGTTGAAAGTGGGAGTATGGAAGAAGTAAATGTTTTCAGATATTTGGGAGTTGACTTGTCAGCAGATGGATTTATGAAGGATGAGGTTAACCATAGAATTAATGAAGGAAAAAAGGTGAGTGGTGTGTTTAGGTATCTGTGGAGACAAAAAACTTTATCCATGGAGGCAAAGAAGGGAATGTACGAAAGTATAGTGGTACCAACACTTATATGGGTGTGAAACTTGGGTTGCAAATGCTGCAGCAAGGAGGCAGCTGGAGGCAGTGGAGATGTCCTGTCTAAGGACAATGTGTGGTGTAAATATTAATCAGAGAATTCAGAATGTGGAAATTAGGAGGAGGTGTGGAGTTACTAAAAGTATTAGTGAGAGGGCTGTTTCTAGGTTTGTTGAGGTGGTTTGGTCATTTAGAGAGAATGGATCAAATTAGAATGACTTGGAGAGTATAAGTCTGTAGGGGAAGGAAGTCGGGGTAGGGGTTGTCCTCGAGAAGGTTGGAGGTAGGGGCTAAAGGAGGTTTTGTGGGTGAGGGGCTTGGATTTCAAGCAAGCATGCGCGAGTGTGTTAGGAGTGAATGGAGACAAATAGTTTTTGGGACCTGATGAGCTGTTGGAGTGTGAACAGGGTAATATTTTGTGAAGGGATTCAGGGAAACCGGTTATCCGGACTTGAGTCCTGGAAATGGGAAATACACTGCTTGCATTTTAAAGGATGGGTATAGGGTGTTGGCAGTTTGGAGGGACTTCTGAACTGTCATATCTGAGCGCCTCTGCAAAGACAGTGATTATGTATGAGTGATGAATGATGATGAAAGTAAAGTGGAACCCCGACTTACAATATTAATTCGTTCCAGAAATCTGTTCGGGTGCCGTTACTGAACGAATTTGCTCCCATGAGGAATATTGTAAATTAGATTAGTCCGTTTCAGACCCCCAAAAATACACTTACAAAAGCACTTACAAAAATACACTTACATAATTGTTCGAGTTGGGAACTGATCATAAGCCAGGGGTCCACTGTATTTTCTTTCTTTTTGGGTCACCCTGCCTCGGTGGGAGACAATCAGCATGTTAAAAAAAAAAAGTGTATAAAAGAGGGGAAGGTACCTAGGGATTGGCAGAGAGTGTGTATAGTTCCTTTATAGGGGATGTAATAATAATGTACAGTACTTCCAAAACTACCACTCAAAAAAATGAATATTGTGCATTTTAATGCATTGTTTTTAACCACTCCAACCATCTATCATAAAGAAAGCATTCTCCATCATTTATTCAACAGCTGCTTTACCAAGTGTACAGGCATTACAGTTCAAATGGCCCTCTAGCCTGTAATATATTCACCCATCCTTCAGAATGCAGGCACTGTTCTCGCCTGCAGAACTCAAATTTGGCAAACTGGTTTATCTGTTGCTTTATGTATACAGTGGACCCCCGGTTAACGATTTTAATCCGTGCAAGAGGGCTCATCGTTATGCGAAATAATCGTTATGCGAATGAATTTTCCCCATAAGAAATAATGGAAATCAAATTAATCCGTGCAAGACGCCCAAAAGTATGAAAAAAAATTTTTTTTACCACATGAAATGTTAATTTTAATACACACAAACTGAAAAAGGCATGCACAATTAAATGACACTTACTTTTATTGAAGATCTGGTGATGATTGATGGGATGGGAGGAGGGGAGAGCATTATCTTCTTACTGTTTAGAAGGGGAATCCCCTTCCATTACGACTTGAGGTAGCAAGTCCTTTTCCGGGGTTACTTCCCTTCTTCTTTTAATGCCACTAGGACCAGCTTGAGAGTCACTGGACCTCTGTCGCACAACAAATCTGTCCATAGAGCTCTGTACCTCCCGTTCCTTTACGATTTGTCTAAAATGGGCCACAACATTGTCATTGAAATAGTCACCAGCACGGCTTGCAACAGCTGTGTCAGGGTGATTTTCATCTATAAAGGTTTGCAGTTCAACCCACTGTGCACACATTTCCTTAATCTTTGAAGTAGGCACAATGGATTCCACAACTGGCATAGGCTTCTCAGGGTTAGCCCCAAACCCTTCAAAATCTTTCTTAATTTCCATACTAATTCTCACCCTTTTTACCACAGGGTTGGCACTAGAAGCTTTCTTGGGGCCCATGGTCACTTATTTTCCAGAAACAGCACCGAAAATACTGTAATAATACGAAATATTCCGAGTGTATGCTTGGATGTTACCGCGGAGGCTGGCTGGTAAACAATGGGACGGAGCGGCACATGTGAGGCTGGCTGAGGGCACATTGGACGCGTCTCGGACGAAAATCGGTATGCGGGTTTTTAATCGGTATGCGGGGCAAAAATTTTGCGATAAAAGTAAGCGTTATGCGGAAAAATCGCTATGCGATGCCATCGTTATGCGGGGGTCCACTGTATTGCCTTGCTCACACTCGAACAGCATGTCACATTCTTAAGAGTCCTCCCTTCCCCACTCCTATCCAATCCAACACACTTGTGGGAGATTGATGCACTTGATGTTTCAGGAACCAGAGATTGATCAAGCTGTCCGAAAATCCCAGCGAAACCTGAATACCAAAAAGGATGAAGATGCCAACTTGAACTTCCCTCCAGGAACATCTATTGATGAAATATTGCAATACACACTTCGTGACATGATACTCGAGACTGAGGAGAAAATACACATGGGCATGCTAGGCAGTCTGCGGATTGGAGACCGCGAGGCCTGGAGAGAAGCCATCGTGGAGGGCATTTTAGGCAAAGGGTCCGAGCTGGATTTCTTCGGTCGCAAGCGCATCTACACCAGGTTGTCTGACCTGGACTTCGGTGGTCGCAAGCGTATCTCTCAGTTTAAGGCAAGTTAAAACTTGCAGGCAGTGGTAAGCATTACCTTTTGACCATCTGCCAGGTTTTTATGTTTTTTATGCACAAAAGACTCAGAACCAACCATAGGCAAGGCAATGTACCGAGTCTCATCTTTTCAGCCTTGTGTTTCTGCATGTGTTATGTTTTACTATAGGTTAAAAATATATTGCATGTGTTGTACACTTATTAACTCTTTCATTGTCCATATCCCTGATCTGGAACTTGTTCAGTGTCCAAGAATTTAAAAAAAAAATAATTATTTGTTCTTATGAAATGGTAAAGAATAATTTTCTGTAGGTAGTAAAATGAAACGTACGAAATTTGATGGAAAATTGACAAAATTACACTTTCACAAATTTTGCTGTGTCAGTGATAGTTATGCATCAGCGATTTTGCCCACTTTGAATTCTATTTTAGGCCAATTACAGGTCTCCCTCAACATTCGCGAGGGTTAGGGGATCAAGAGCCTCGCGAATGTTGAAAAACCGTGAATGTTTGGTGCCCCAATATATTGTAGGCAAATATATTACAATACTGCTTCCTTAACTTGTTGAACCATGAATAATCATAAAATACATGAAAACGTCGTAAATTGTACTAAATATATACATGTTATGCTTTAATAACGTATGTTATTTAATAACATGTATGTTAATAACATGTATGTTATTAAATACCAATGCCTCCACCACTGTGAGTCCCTACTACCCTCCCTCCGACCCCCACAACTGGCAGCCAGTCCTCCCACCACTCAGTGTGGTGAGTGTTTTGTTTGTTCATTATTTGCTATTAAACTACAGAATAAATAATGTAAACCCATTCATGACTGCATATTGGAATGACTATTAGGAAAGGTATTAGACGGTGACATCATGTGTTTACTCTTGAACACAGCAAAGAATCGAACATTTCTGCTATTGCTAATAATAACAGTAGTAGTAATAATAATAATAATAAATACGATATAATTGAAGAAGGAAATTGTACAAAAATACGAGGGAGTGGTTGACACATCGTCAGTGTGACTTTGTTTATGCTGGAGTGAACATTAGTCTCCCTGCTCTTCCAAACATTTCACAATAATTCAGCAGTTGAGGCAGTGGTGTTTAATAACATATATGTTATAAATAATAATAGTACATGTTATTATTAATAACATGTATTATTATTAACATGTATGTATTTAATAACATACATGTTATAAATAATAATAGTACATATTATTAATAACATGTATGTATTATTATTAACATGTATGTTATTAAATACCATTGCCTCAATCACTGCCTCTACCACTCGTCACACTCAATCTACAAGCACCAAACACAATGAATTATTGTGAAATGTTTGGAAGAGCAGGGAGACTAATGTTCACTCCAGCATAAACAAAGTCACACTGACGATGTGTCAACCACTCCCTCGTATTTTTGTACAATTTCCTTCTTCAATTATATCATATTTATTATTATTATTATTATTATTATTATTATTATTATTATTATTATTATTATTACTATTACTATTACTGTTGTTATTATTAGCTGTAGCAGAAATGTTTAATTCTTTGCAGTGTTCAAGAGTAAACACATGATGTCACCATCTAATACCTGTCCGAATAGCCATTCCAATATGCAGTCATGAATGGGTTTACATTATTTATACTGTAGTTTAATAGCAAATAATGAACAAACAAAACGCTCACCACACTGAGTGGTGGGAGGGCTGGCTGCCAGTTGCGGGGGTCGGAGGGAGGGTAGTAGGGACTCGCAGGTGGCGGGAAACTTAAATATGATTTGGCGGCTGGGAATTTGGTGGCTAGGAATTTGGCGGCTGGGAATTCGCGGATGTGTGAAGCCCGTGAAAGTTGAAAATGTGAATGTTGAGGGAGACCTGTACTTTGTTCCAGTAGACCAAATTCATAGCTATTTCGCTAGTATGACTTCCATTGTATTGATTGAGCACAAGAAACCACCCAATCAACTATTAACCCTTTGACTGTTTTCGACGTATAAATACGTCTTACGAGCCAATGTTTCTGACGTATATATACTCAATAATTCTAGCAGCTTCAAATCAAGCGGGAGAAAGCTGGTAGGCCCACATGTGAGAGAATGGGTCTGTGTGGTCAGTGTGCACCACATAAAAAAAATCTTGCAGCACACATTGCGTAGTGAGAAAAAAAAAATGATCGTTTTTTTGGAATAAAACGCCGACTTTGAGGTGAATTTTCGTATAGCATTTATCGTTGTATTCGCGTTTTCATGGTCTTAGCTGATAAAATGGAAAACATATTACAGAAATAGAGATGATTTTCATTACTTCGATGATGAAAAACGACCTTGAAACTTAGCTCAAAGTAGCGGAAATGTTCGATTTTTACCAATGTTCAGGAGTAAATAAATCACACCACACGTCCAATACACGTCAACTGGGGAGTCTAATATTCTTTCATTAGTGCACTGATATTATTTATACCATTTTTACAATAATGCAGTAGTCTGCATAACAGTAAATTTTGTATTTTTTTTGTATGAATAAAAAATCAAAATAGAAAGCAATAATAATATAAGAGGAGCCTAGAGATGTGACTGATGAACAGAGCATATGTTATTTTAGTGCCACGAATGTCTACCTTGTTTATTCTGGACCCTATTTTGAAATTGGCATCTTTTTTAGTTTGCGTGAAATTGGCCAAATTGCCAATTTCTGACCACCATATTGGGTAGTCCAAATTAGTAAATGGGAGGTTTCTTGTACTCAGCTGATAGATAAAATGGAGTTCTAAAGAAATAGCTATGAGTTTGGTCAACTGGAACAATGGAATTGGCTGAAAATAGGGCTCAAAGTCGGCGAAATCGCCGATACGCATATGTCGCCGAGACCGCTAACTTCGCGGGAGCATAATTCCATGAGTTTTTGACCAAATTTTGAACTTTTGGTGTCATTACCATCGGGAAAAGATTCTCTATCATTTCATAAGAAAAAATAATTTTTTTTTTTTTTTTCAAAAATTGAGCGACATAGAATGACAGTTTCAGAAAGGGGCCTGAAACAGTCAAAGGATTAACTACCCAATACAGAAATTGGTAATCTGGCTAATGTCACACAAATTTCAAAATAGGGTTCAGAATAAGCAATGCAGGCATTCCTGGTACTAAAATAACATTTCTTCTATTCCTTAATTATGTTCCCAGGCTTTGCATATGAATTCCATTTTTATTTCTTATTTACACAAAAAATGGAAGATTTACGGTTATGCAATATTGTAATAATTGTATAAATAATATCAGCACATTCATGAATGCATATTAGACACCAGTTCGACATGCATTGGACGAGTGATGTGATTTGTTTACTCATAAATATCGGCAAATATCAAACATTTCTGCTTCTCTGAGCTCAATTTCAAGCTGTTTTTAGTACTGAAACAAATGAAAATCATCTCTGTTCTGTAATATATCATTGATTCTGTCAAATGAAGCAAAAAAAACGAGAGTACAGCTATAAAAACCATATGAAAATACACCACGCAGTTGCTGTTTTAAACCAAAAACACAGCAGTTTTTTCGTGTTATGCACTGTGTGTTGCAAGATTTTTTTTATACGGTACACACTTACCATATAGACCCATTCTCTCATATCTAGACCCAAATTTACTGCTCATAGCTTATCCAAGTGGGCCGAGCCTATGGCATAGTTCTACGGTACTGACAGTGACCTCAAACCCATAGTACCATGGCACGGACAACGAAAGCGTTAACACAGATTTCAGTAATATAATAAACAAGTTTATGATTTTTTAAAACTTAAGTACAATTTATGATATATATGGAGTGTGACCAGGGTAATATTTTGTGAAGGGATTCAGGGAAACTGGTTAGCAGGACTTGAGTCCTGGCAGTGGGAAGTATAGTGCCTACACTTTCAAGGACGGGTTTGGGATATTTGCTGTTTGGAGTGACATCTGAACTGTCATGTATGAGTGCCTCTGCAAAGACAGTGATTATGTGTGAATGATGGTGAAAGTGTTGCTTTCTTTTTTGGGTTGCCCTGCCTTGGTGGGAGATGGCCGACACGTTGACAAAAATATATACAACCTCTCCTCACTTAGAGAAGTACTCATTTACCAATGACTTGGACTTACGATGGGCTCTCTGACCAGTATGCATACTTAAATGATGTATATTAGAGCTGATTTTCTCTATTCTGTTTATTACAGTATACAGTACACTACTGTACAAACATTTAAACATATTCTAAAAATGCTGTAAATGGTGCAAAGGTGACATTAAAACAATATCAAAGATGGTTGACACAAACCCACTTCCATTATAATATGCTCCTTGCTTAGCGACGAATTCATTCACCGACATGGTCTTAGGAACAGAACTCCGTCGTTAAGTGAGGAGAGGCCGTATATAAATATTTGGTATATTTTATGCTTCTTTATGCAGCACATGCAAAATGGATAATATTTTTTTGGATTATAATGAAGGCATAAAATGTCAGAAATACTGTGTCACATATGACAAACCTAAATCAATTTGACAAAATAAATTACCTGTTTGTTTTTTAAGGAAAATAAATGTAATTGTGGAACCCTTATGATCACTTTTTCATGAAAAAGTTAATGCCAAAGAATATTTGTTTTTTGGAAAGAGATGACACATGTTGGAAGTCAGTCAGCTTAGACATGTTTTGGTGAAAGGTTTAACCCTTTCACTGTCCGTGTCATATTAATACGGCTTACAAGCCAGTGTTGGTACTGTATTAATACGCCAAAATTCTAGCGGCTTCAAATCTAGCGGGAGAAAGCTGGTACCCCTGTGTGTGAGAAAATGGGTCTGCATGGTCAGTGTGCACAGTATAAAAAAATCCTGCAGCACGCAGTGCATAAATGCTGACTTTGAAGTGTATTTTTGTATGGTATTTATGGTTGTATTCTCGTTTTCTTGGTCTCATTTGATAGAATGAAAGATATATTACAAAA